TTGATTCAAAAATTTTCTGTCGTACCATCTCTTGCAGTCATAACTCTTGCATCAGTTTAGTGTCAAGGGCCGCAGATAATGTTTAAATAAATCAAACAAATAATATCGACAATAGGCCCCGTCGTGTTAAAGTTTATAAGGCGATAAAATAATAACTAGGCTTACTAGACGTAATTTTGTGTAAAAGTGAAAGGATGTACAAGCTACAGGATGTACAAGCTAGACAAGCAGGATACGTGCATTGGATAAGCTAAGTTTGAATCTCAAGCCTAAATTAGAATATTTGAATATAATTAATTATAATTGGTTTGAATATAATTATGAGGATATGTAACGAAAATCAAAGAAACTAACGATCAAAACGTCATTCGATAGCAGGGCAAAAACAGCCTAGCTGAGAAAATGATATCGAAAAAATTACACGGTCGTCTCTGACGATCGAACGAGTCTTCCTCGAAAATTATTTATCAACGGTCGCGCGTTGATGGAGGTGGACCATGCGCAACGTACATTGCACGTATCTCGCAACAACTATCGTATTATAAACGAATTTTTCGTGGTGAGATCGAGGCTTCGACGATCCCACAGTAAAAAATTGGGAAGCTGGAAGGAGAAGTTTGCGATCCGTATAAATATAGGCCGGTCGGGTAGACTCCGTGTCATTAGATTTTTTTGTACGAGTACGAGTGCATACGTGAGAGTTGTATCTTTGAGTTTACAGTTCGAATTAATACCAGTCGTGTACGCTTCGATTAAAAATTGTGTAACTTATATTAGTGCAGTCAGTTCGCTCGAGAGTACAATCACTCGATATTTAAACAGTGCAGAAGGTCTAGTTCAACTGGAACAATTTCGTGTTGGGACAGTAGTTCTAATCATCGCCGAGCCTACGTTCACCTTAGCAAGCGTCGTTTGTGCGATAAATCATAAATGTAAGTTATCTTGTAAGATATTTTTTCAATTTTCTCTCGCAATTAATTTTTGAGATACTAATAATAACAGAGATTTATGTCTAGTCCCTTTTCGAATGACACTAAGAAGTAACATTGCTAGAGCAACTTGTAATAAGTCAAATTTAGAGTATATCAATTAAAAACAGATCAAAATTTCATTGTTTTACCGTCGACTGATTTTTTATTTATACCTTTGACACTCGTTAAAGATATTATTTAAACATTAGGCATCTAATCATAAAAGAATTGACAGTTCAAAATCGAGTATTTAATAAAAGTTTAATCATAAGAAGCAATATACTTTTTATAGGTATTTTCGATCTCTAAAAACGTATTGCAGCAATGGCCAGCTGCGAAATTAGCTGACGGCTGCGCATGCACTTAAGCAGTTTTTGACCATTTTTATTTCTAATATTATGTTGTTTTTTACATGGTTTACGGTAAATTAGGACAGCACGTGTCTAATAAACTGACCAATACGACTCAACTAAAAATTAGAAGCATAAATTGTTCAAGATATGCCCATGATAATTATGCGGGTATCAATATTAGAAAAAAAACATTATTTTGATGTTACATAATTATTCATAAAATATATATTAACCAATAATATTTCATTGCAGCTCCAACTCACTCGTTGTCTTCTACGTCTTTGGCGCTATAGTTTGACATTAGTTAATTTCTTGCAAACTTAAAGGTATGTGTATCCATTAAATAGTTTTTTAAATTGTAAACATGTTTTTAATTTTCTTTTAATAATTTAAAATAATGGGCTGTTACAGATGAAATCAGACATATCAAGCTTTCTTGAGCGTCTAAATGAAATTAGTAGGCTTGGAGCTATTGAACTTCAAGCAAAATTGGCGGCAATGACTCCCGAACAGCGAGCACAATATGACGCAGAAGAAGACGCGAAATTGAAGGAATTGGAGGCTGATCTTTGGGCGCAATATGACGCAGAAGAAGACGCGATGTTGGAGGAATTGGAGGTTGATCGTCGGGCGCAATGGGAAGAAGAACAAAAAAAAATTTATGATGATCAAATTCAGTCAATAATTAAAGAACAAAAAGAACAAGAGAGAATACATGATGATTAAATTTTCGCAATACTTAAATCAGAAGAAGAAGAAGACAGATTGAAGGCTATAAAAAATGCAGTTTAGGAAAGTTGCTAGTCGTGCCGAGACAAAGTTCACACAATATTTTCTATTCGTTAATTTTTTTCCAAACTAAATGACAGATCGAGCATATAATTGTAAACGAATTTTTTAAACAATCTTGAGCGCGACTCCGACCAATACGGACCTGAACTCGTTTCTCTGCATTCGTGCCACGACGCCTCCAGCTGTCCGTTTCCCCAATGCCTAAACAATTTTGTAATCAATGAAAATGTAAATTATAAATAATAATATACATATTTATTTATTTAAAACTATTGCTTCTAATTCTGTACCATTTATCTTGAATGATGTAATATTACAATACAATTTCCTAAAATTTTATCACTGATCCGAGGCGATCAATAGTTTACTATTTCGCCTCGTGGAAAGTGACCCCTCATCCTTACGACAATGAAAATGTACGCATCACCCGAGAATATTGTAACTATAACGACAACCAAAATATAAATTATAATTTACTAAAAAGTGCAGACAAGTTGTAACATTGAATGTCTATCTAATCAATATGAGTGAGTGACAATAGTCGTGTATTATCAACTCACAAGGAGAGCCTTTCATCTGCGGGTCACAGATCCTTTCCAAACTTGTTTGGGGGTCTTCTTGTCCATAATAATGAAGCCCCCTATGGTTACTTCATTCCAATAGGCCCTGGAAACCATTATAAAGCACCATAAAGTATATATAATATAATATAATGTTTAAAATACCACTGATTGGTATCAGGCCTTGTACGGTCAAGTCTAACTGTCTCAAAAATATTTGTACATGAACTTTTATGGATTCTAAATACTTTTGCAAATAATAAACAATTGAATTCAATTGGTTTGCTGAGTATGTTTTAAAGAGCGCACCAATTTGAGCTAAAATTAACGTACCAAACAATAAATATTGATGTAAATAATATGAAAATGTTTTTTATTTGTATAACTCATGTATCCCTTCTCTTCACCTATTCCTGATACTCATCTGGAGTGAATTTACATATGTTTTGAGTGCCAGAAATAGGTGATAAAGAAAGAACAGTAAAGTTTATAAATGAAAACATTTTTACATGATTTAATATAAATATTAGTTGATAAATGCATAAATTTTAGCTTGAATTGATTCGCTCTTTGAGAATTTCAGTAAACCAATTGAGTTAAATTGTTTATTGATTGAAAAGGTGTTTTGGACTCTAAAAACTCAAAGTATAAATACTTTTCAATCATTTAGACTTGACTGTGTAAACCAGATATTATTATACTTTAATATATGGTATTTTATACATTATATTATATTATATACTTTATGGTGCTTTATAGTGGTTTCCAGGGCTTATTGGAATAAAGTAACCATAGGGGGCTTCATTATTATGTACAAGAAGATCTCTAAACAAGTTTGGTAAGGATCTGTGACCCGCAGATGAAAGGCTCTCCTTGTCAGTTTAAAAAATATAAAGTCGTCATTGAAAGTAGTTATTTAGATATTGATACAAAATGTGTGAATCTATATACTGAAAAATCTTTACTGAATTATTTGTGCGAGGCAATGGTTTCATAACATATGTACATAAGATGTTATACAAACATTTTTTAACTGATACAAGTTATTCATACAAATTATTATAATAAATTGTTTTTAATTGCAATAATAAATTTTTCATGACTGCATTTTAATAGTTCATATCTAATCCTAAAATGATTTTTAGGGATATTTTTTCAAGAGTAGACGACGCTGACACCTGACGAATAAATTGCATTCGATTAGAGTGGGTTCTTTTTCACTTTTGTGTACATTTTTCATCTCATAATACTGTTACAGCCTGTGATGCAACCTTTTACTATAAAAAATAATTATAAAAGAAACCAATAAAACTGTGAGAAGCAGCTAGCTCAAATTTAATGTATCTCGCGCATCTTCTATGCATAATTTCGATGACACACACGACAGTTAAAAAGTAACATCATTTCGGACACGCGCAGCCAGCCGAGTTGAGCGGCCTAAAACTATCACCTATTTCAGAGGTTTCTGTTAATTAAACGCTTGCAGAAACTCTTACGAAAATACAATTCGCACGACAAAGAAATGTACACGTGCTGCCGCGAGATGAATGAATGTCGTAGAAAACCTATAAAACTGCGGTGGCCGCGGCTCCACCGATTTCGGGAAGAGCGTGGCCCTGGGGTTTTTTAAGGTACACGCGCATGCAAGATATGTGTGAATTATTGACACATATCGAGCTGACGATGTACGCTGCACCGCTAGGGCGGAGGCAAATTTAGTCGTATATAAGCTACGGTTAAAGAGGAACAGTCCTCCTTAATATCTACGAAATCGCACACTACCTGTCGAAGCTTGTAATCATTCAACTTAAATCAAAGTTATAAAATATATCACTTGTATTTGTAAATGCATTGTATGCATATAATTCGAGTAACGTCAACTGTGTAAATCAATTGTAGTAGCTTCATAATAACTGTGTGTAAACGAATTGTACTGTGTTTGTGTGTGCCACACCATCATCGGCGAATAAATAAAGAACTGTAAGTTTATTATTATATATCTCTCTGATATTATACTTCCTTTCGACCTACCCCTACGCAACAAGTTATAATAAATAAATAAAAGGGTTTTCTGTTATAATTCCGACTACGGAGTATGTAACAGTACATCGCACGCACGAGTATAGAAAATAGAGCGCCTGAATAAGAGCAATTTTCATTACAATTTTTGCGTAGTTTTAATGACAAGTGAGTGTCATTATTATAGTCGAAGGTAGAGGGATCTCCCTGCATGCACATAGGAGTATAGCATTCGCAAAGGAGCTATCAAAATTACGGGGTAACGGGTAATTGGGCGCTTAGTCGCTGACGAGGAGCTGAATTCCTGTGACAAGCACGAGTGTTTACAAATTATATCAGTAGTGGGGCTCTAAAATCGTAGAAAAGTGTTGACTACTCGAGGCGCATAACCTCGAATATTATTTAGGTACAGATCGTGAAAATTAATCATCATCAAATAATGGAAGACGGAAAAAACGCAATTAGGTATAACATTTGTTGTGCATGCCATGATATTTTTAAAGCGTTTGATTCATAAAACTTTATCATGCTTTTCAGAGTTAAGGATGAACCAAACGATACTTGGCCAGATGCAGGTAACGAGCATATTTTTGATTCGATGAACTTTTGCAAATCCGAAAACTTGAAAATATTCCCGTTTTATAAATCACAAGTAAGTTCAGAAATATGTAAATCCGCTATCGAAAAATATTGCACAATTTTAATTTTATAGGGTGTCAATCACGTGAATAAGGTTAAAGCATCAGAGGAAAAGTTAGGAAAAAATATATCAATAGAATTTGAGTGCAAATACGTTAAACCCGAAGTGAAGTTCTTATCGAAAACTATCTTCAAAACTGAGCAAGACAGTTGTCTACCCATTGTTAAGATAGAAAATCGAGTTGAGGTAAATCACTTGCCTGAAAAAAGTCTTGTGATTTTGATAAAAAAAGGGTTCGATTATTATAATAATTGCCAATTTCCAAATAATTCCCGATTGAAACTAGACGAATTCGAGGAATTAGAGGAAGGAAGAATATTCGATAAAATCACTTGGACCAAATTATCCCTTGATTGTAATTTGCGGAAAATTTATAAAAGAGATGAGAGTCGAAAAATACATATTAGTACGAAACAAGAGAACATTAGATCATATAAATGCAACATTTGTCGCGAAGCATTTACAGACAAATGAAACGTCGAAACTCACGAAATGACTGTACACAATCAAACCAAGCTCTTTAAATGTGAGATTTGCCACAAATCATTTCGACTCAGAGGTAACTTGAAAAGACATGTGAATGCAGTACATGATCGTAGCAAACCCTTTGAATGTGAGATTTGTCACAAATCATTTGGATACCAATGTGTACTTAAAAGGCACACGATTACAGTACATGATGAGAGCAAACCCTTTAAATGTGAAATTTGTCAAAAACCATTTGGATTCAAGGGAAATCTCAATCAACACAGAAATGCAGTTCATAATCGGATCAAACCCTTCGAAAGTGAAATTTGTCACAAATCATTTGGACTAAAAAAGATCCTTAAAAGGCACATAACTGCAGTACATGATCGGATCAAACCCTTCGATTGTGAGATTTGTCACAAATCATTTGGACAACAGATTAATCTCAAATCTCACATAAAAGCAGTACATGATCATATCAAACCCTTTGAATGTGAAATTTGTCATAAATCATTTGGACGCAAGAGTGATCTCAAAACTCATATTCATCAAGTACACAATCAGAATAAACCCTTTCGATGTGAAATTTGTCCCGCATCATTTGGATGCTCAAACCATCTTAAAAGGCACATAAATACAGTTCATGAACGTAGAAAACCCTTTGAATGTGAGATTTGTCACAAATCATTTGGACTAAAGGGTAACCTCAAAAAGCACTTAAATGTAGTACATGATCGGAGCAAACCCTTGAAACTACATAATCGGAGCAAACCCTTGAAACTACATAATCGGAGCAAACTCTAGAAGAGTGAAATCTGTTTTAAAAAATTTGGACGCAATTAAGCAATCGATATTGTGACAACCACAAACTGTGTACTAGCCAAGTACGCCATAAACACTATTTCGTTACACATTTGAGCTTGTAAGAGCTGCCCTAGGAAGGACCACATGATGATTGATCTTAAGATTATTAAAACGAGATATTACGCCAAAAAGTCTGTTCTCGAAATAAGCTATGACAACATCGATACAAAATGCGTCTATCTTTTGTCTCGAGTAAGCAGTTCTTCATGGAATGAAATAAACGAATCGGCGCAAAATTATGCCAATTTTTATGAGACTGTAAAGGCTATGGCATTATACAAGCTATTAATATGAATTATTAATAACATTCAATATGTAAACATGAAAGATTTTATAATTATAACTAAGAACAATTTACGTAAATAATTCATATTAATAGCTTGTATTGTTTGATATTATTTGTATAATTATATGCACACATGTAATAATTGAGTAAAAATTCATTCATTGGTACTAAAGATCTTGTACAGTTATGAATACAATTATGAAAAAATGTACAACTTTTTATGTTTAATGATTTCATGTATACTTATATAAGGAGAACTATTCTTCTCATAATAGATTAGATATAAACAATATTCAATAAATCATGTATAATTTCGTTGTCATTCAATACTTCAATAAAATGCCGCCTTCAAAATTTCGGCTCCATGTCCATGAGGTCCAGCAACTGCACGAACTGCTCGTACTCGTAGTCCCTCGGACTCCTTGCGGCGCTATTCGCCGGCAGCGACTGCGCCGCGCACAAGTTCAGCATGTCCTCAAGTCCGAGCTTCTCGACGATCATTTCGCCGGCCAGTATCGGCAGCGAGTCTCCCGTCATCCTCAGCAGCACCTGCACGGCGCCGGACCTCGTGTAGTCCGCGATGGCGCATCGATTGATCTGACCCAGCACGACCTTGTGCAGTATCGGAAATTTCTCCTTGAACTGGACCGACCAGAGGGTCTTGCGCCAGGTGCGGCTCGGCGACAGCAGCAGCAGCGACTCCTTCAGTCTATCGGGTCGGCTGCTGACGATGTGACGAACCGTCACCCCCGCGACTAGTGGCGTCCGCCCGGCCAAGTCCCACTCGTGCTTGAGTCGCTCGGAGAATTCTTCGCTCGTCGCGAATGTAGATTCTTCGTACATATCTAGCGTTTCCGACACCAGATTGTCGTAAAACGTCTTGAGCTCTGTGTCTTGGTAAACGCCGAGGCTCAACATCGCGCGATACTCGCCTAGGATCGGATGTAAGAACTGCTCCCAGGAGGGGTCGATTTCCGTATTCGGCCAGTGTCTAATGAAAAATTTGTAGATGCTTTCGGGGGGACCTATATTATTTTTTAAAAATTTCATCTGATTAACAATTCTCATTGGTTTTGAGTTAAAAAAAAAAAAACAATTCATAATCTTTTGTAATCTTTTAAGTGGACACACCAGTATTAAAACCTGAAATGATTAATTTGGTCCATTATGATTTTTTCCACTCAAAATGAAGCAAAAAAAACATGGAAAATTTCTATATTTATTGAAACTTGATTGATGCATAATTGTACACCTATTAATCATTTCAGATTTTAACACTGGTGTGTCCCCTTAAATACTTCAATAAAATGAGGTGTATGACAGTTTTTAAAAGTTTATAATAAATGTTCACTAAATCGATTTCGGCAAAAGTATCATGAATGATCTTACCAGAAAGTAGCAATGCCCAGACGTTGGCTTTCGTCGCAGGATCTGCGTGCAAGAAAAAAATTTCTCAGTTACTACCAACCACAATACATCGCACAATTTACTCACCGTGTAAATCCTCGTCCTCGATCTCGAGATCCCAGTCGTTCAGGAAGCCCAACGTCGAGAGGTACTCCGGTCCTTCCAATCGGTAATCCGCCTCCTTCGTCAGCATCTCGACTATAGACATGATATTCTGCGTCACCTCCCACGTTGGCAGCAACCGTCCTGACCTCCGTTGTCCGCTGAAGTACCCGAATTGGAATCGCAGCCGGCCGAGTTCCGGATACGTCCGAGCCCCGGCTCGTAGCAGAGCCTTGACCGTGCGCGGATTCAGACTGCAGCAGGCGTCCTCGAGCGGGCTCTTGTTGTACTGGTCCAGGGCGTTGGGATTGGCGCCGTGGCGCAGCAGATACTTCACGATCTCGGCGCCCTCCTCGTTCTTCGGGAAGTAGGCGAATCGCGACTCGTCGCAGGCGTAGTGCAGCGCCGTCTCGTGGGTGACGTTGTGTCGGTGCCTCACGACGGCCTTGTTGGCTCGCACGAGTTCCTTCAGCGCCAGCAGCTGATTGCCCAGCGTCTCCTTGTGCTTTATGTCGCGCCGGTCGAGTAGATGCAGTATCGGCGTCATCCCCGAGTGACATCTCACCATCAGCACGTGCCGAGCCATCCACTCGTTCGTCAGCAAGACTCTCAGAGTTTTCAACATCGGCTGGAATTTTTTCGGCTCCACGTCGCCGGCGAGCTGCCGACATATCGTGTGCAAGAGCCAGCAGCCCGTCGCGGGGTCGCGATAATCCACCGGGCAGTTGTGCTTCAGCAGCAGTTCCAGCAGCTCGGCGTGGAAATTTTTCACTGCGATCCTCACCGGAGACACCAGAGAGCTCATCTCGAGCCGAGGCTCGTGCTCCAAGAATCTCCGCACCGTCTCCAAGTGGCCCAGCTCGAGGGCCAACATGTAGTGAGTCTCCACGTCGGCCGGGGTCGATCTTTCGATGTCGAAGTGAGCGAAGAACACCTCGCAGGCCGCGGGGAAGTTGGCGTCGAAGGCCGCCTCGATCGCCTTTTTTTCCTCGTCGACGTGGTACAGACACGGCAGCCGCAGCTTGGCCAAATTTCGGACCACGCAGATATTTTTTTTCGACAGGGCTCGTTTGAGCATCCATCGGAGGCGATCTTGGTCGTGCAGGATCTCAGCCGCGTGGAGGTAATACAAGACGTTCGTCGTGGGTTGATCCTTGGAAAGATATTCGGCCAAATCCTTGTAATCGTCCATCATTTTGGATTCGTCGGCGTCCCTGTTATTATTCATCACTTCTACACTCGTTCACCGGATTATCGATTTTTTGGATTATATTTTACAAAACAGCTTGTATTTCACTTCCTTTATTCGGATTGCTTTCTCGTGCAATCGTTTTCGTGTAGATAGTATGCGAAGCCGAATGATTGCGTCAGCGATTAACGAGTTGCCTAGACTGATAGTATTATTGATTCCTTGTTTATTATTGTACGTAACAGAATCAGCGAACGAAAGAAACTTTACTCGTTGGAAATGGAAATCCAAAATTGATTATTTCGAAAATATAAAACTAGCGATTATAGCAAATTGAATCAAAACAAAATACATTATTAAATAGTAAATTGTGTACTGATTTTGATTATTTACAAAGTCAATTTGTGCAAAATATGTTTCGTTAAATTATTCAAAAATCGCACAATTTCGACGTAGTATCAACGACGAACGAGTGAGGGTACATTATCGCTGTACGTAACTGCGTATGGCTAATCGACGGTGGAGGGGGAAAGTATCCCCAAAGCATCAACCACAATCGCGGGATAACCTCACTTATATACGAGTAGTGCGTTCAGTGGGTGAAAACGTGGCACAAAGTTGACTACTCGTGGTGTATTTATCAGTGCGAATCGTGAGAATCACCAGTGATTCCGTATATATTATTAATAAGTGAGCGATGGAAAATGCAGAGGACATTGAAAGGTACGATATTTTTTTGTGCACTTAATGATATTTTTAAAGCGATTGATTCATCAAATTTCATTAATCTTCAGGGTGAAGGAAGAGCCGAACGATACTTTTCCAGATGCAGGTGACGATTACAATTTTAATCTGGTAGAATCTTGCAAAGCCGAAAACGTTGATACATCAACGATTTGTGAATCATTGGTGAGCTCAATAAATGATCAAAATTATGATCTGTTTTTCCAATAATTGACTATTATACTTAATTAAATATTATATAATTTTAATTTAAGGCAAATCACATGAATGAGACTATGGGGTTACCGGAACAGTTAGATGAAAAAATATTGATTGATGTTGAGTGCAAGCATGTTAAACCTGAACTGTCATCTCTATCGAAAAGGATCTGCAAAATTGAGCATCAAAATAGCCAATCGATCGTAAAAATGGAAAAAAAATATCAGACCAATGACACGAGTCAAAATATATTCACTGATGTTGAATGCAAGAATGTTAAACTTGAATTGAAGTCATCGTCGACAACAATTTGCCAAAATGAATATCAAAGTACTCTACCGATTGTGAAAATTGAAAACCATATTCAGACTAATTATTTATGTGATAATGATGTAATTTTTTTGAAAAAAAGTTACGATTATGATAATAATTGTCGATTTGAGGTTGATAATCGATTACAATCTGAAGAATGTGAGGATAGGGAAATATTAAGAAAACCCTTCGAACGTGAGATTTGTCATAAATCATTTGGACGAAAGCCTCACTTGAAAAAACACATAGAAACAGTACATGATCGTAGCAAACCCTTCGACTGTGATATTTGCCACAAATCATTTTCGAGCAAGGGTAACCTCGATACTCACATAAGCACAGTACATAATCGTAGCAAACCCTTTGAGTGTGAAATTTGTCGCAAATCATTTGGACGAAAAGGTGATCTCAAAACTCACATAAATACAGTGCATAATCGAAGCAAACCATTTGAATGTGAGGTTTGTCACAAATCATTTGGACACAAAGGTACCCTCAACTTGCATATAAAAACAGTACATGTTCGTAGCAAACCTTTTGAATGTGACATTTGTCACAAATCATTTGGACACAGGAGTGACCTCAAAATTCACATAAATACAGTACATTATCGTATCAAACACTTTGAGTGTGAGATTTGTCACAAATCATTTGGACGAAAAGGTAACCTTAAAAGTCACTTAAATGCAGTACATGATCGGGGCAAACTCTTTGAATGCAAGATTTGTCAAAAATCATTTGGACATAAAAGTAACCTCAGATCGCATATAAAAGGAGTACATAGTCGTAGCAAACCTTTCGAATGTGAGATGTGTCTGAAATCCTTTGGAGAAAAAGGTAAGCTCAAAATTCACATAAATGCAGTACATAATCGGAGCAAACCCTTTGAATGTGAGATTTGTCACAAATCATTTGGACAAAAATATACGCTAAAAACTCACATAAATGCAGTACATGATCATAGCAAACCATTTGAATGTGAGATTTGTCACAAAAAATTTGGACAAAAATGTAACCTCAAAACTCATATAAATGCAGTACATAATCTAATCAAACCCTTTGAATGTGAGATTTGTCTGAAATCATTTGTAAACCAGACTACACTCAAAAGTCACATTAACGCAGTACATAATCGTATCAAACCCTTTGAATGTAATATTTGTCAAAAATCATTTGGACAAAAAGGTCACCTCATTTCTCATTTAAATGCTGTTCATAATTTTAGCAAACCCTTTGAGTGTGAAATTTGTCATAAATCATTTGGATACCAGAATGTACTAAAAAATCACGTTACGGCAGTACATGATCGAAACAAACCCTTTGAATGTGAGGTTTGCCAAAAATCATTTGGATATCAGAAAAACTTAAAAAATCACAAATGCAGTACATAATGAAATCAAATACTTCGAATGCGACTTTGTCGCAAAATATATTCATGCGAAAATAACCTCAATAAATACAGTTCATTATCGCAAGTGAAAACTTTAAAAGCTGGACATCTTTCCAGAGACATTCGGACTCACTTAGTACTTTTGACATCGTACGAATAGGCTATAAAATTTACAAAAACATTCCACTATAATTTCCTTCAATTTTTATGAAGAACAATAAAGTATGTAATAATGCCATTCATTTTGTATTTATTATGAAAAAACCTCTCATTCATCTTTATTAATTGAATAAATATTACATACAACAAATATACAAAAAATATATTATATTTTCTTAGAACCGCCTCCCTGTCGATACTTTGTTAATAGTATCTTGTCCTAAAGCATGTATTTCTAAACCTAAATTTGTGTTGAATTAATAATCAAAGTAGTTACTTTTCTTCATAGAAAATCAATATAATATTGACTCAAAGAAAAATCATACTCACTCAGTTGTAGGAAAAGAAAAGCAATTAAACTATTTTTATGATTAAATAAGAAAAATGATGTTAGCACTGGGTGTAGTACGATGCACGTTTAACGTGCGAGCAAAGCGGGAAAACTGTTTTTAGGCTCATGTACGGAGGGAATTCCGAGATAAAAAGACGTCGATAATTTTAATGGTAAGATATACAAATGTTTTTATTAAATCAAGCATGTAAAGTTATCGTTAAGATTACTCGTAAATTTCTGTCTCAATGGAGTAGCAATTTCGATTTTTATTTTTTTTTGGATTTATAATTTACAATATAAGATTTTTTTGAAATATAGGTATACGCTGGAAAAATACTTGATAAATAATCTCCCACACTTCTAAGTACAAAAGAATATATTAATAAACAAAATTAATGATCTACATGATTATTATTTCTTTTTCCACTCGATTTAAATTTGAATGGCCTACAGCTACGAATTATCATTTACCGCTCGTTAGTCGCGTTATTGCTTCGAAATAAAATAAATTAAAAAAAAAAATACTACGTGATTTTACGTTCCATCGCTATCGATATCTGGACACCGATTAGTCTCTCGAAATTGGAAAACGTCATCGCGCGTCTAATCGATGTTCAATTTTCTAAAGGATCCCTGCACACCCTCTAACTCTTTCAGAATGGTCGATCGGCTGCTGGGCAGTCGGGCGCTCTCGTTCGTTTTGCTGAGTTTCTCCTCGCGCAGGAACCAGTCGCGATTCTTCTCGATCTTCAGTCTCCACGCCTCTGTTGGATAGAACAAAAAAAAAAAGAATAATAATAAGCGAATTTCACACAAGCGTATGTACGCGCATAAATGTGTGTACGCACCGTTGAGCTCTTGAAAGGTGCCGGCTTTGCCGCCCCACTCGCACGGCAGTATGTCCTTGTCCAGGTAGGCGTGCAACTCCTCGCCTCCACCGGTGTGAATTCGAAACTGTAGGCGCATCATCGTTGCAGAAAGAGAATGACGGGTTGGAAAAATTATAATCGGCAATCGTGAATCGAGCTTCCCATCATATAGCCCCGGAGTATATACAATAAAAACAATACCTTGGTGATGAGCTTCTCCTTCAGCAGCGGATAAAATATGTTGAGTATGCTGTTGATGAAGGCGGGCGCGTTGAGGTAGTGGACCCTGTGCAGCCTGAACGGCATACTGTCCTGCGTGGCGAGCATGGCCTTCTTTACGATCGCCTGCGTGGGACTGCATTTCGCAAAGTGGCCCGCTGTGAATCCCTGTTGAATAGGAGACAAAAACGAGTAATTTTCTCGTTGGTGCAAAAAATCGTGTCTCGCGGAGGCGATGCTAGCCACATTTATTACCTTCAGGTCGAAAATCATGATGTTGGACAGGGACGGCTCCTCCTGTAGACGCACGTCCAGCACCATGAGTATGCGTCGGGTTATCGCTGTGAGGGAGAATCTCTCCAGAGCCGTGTCGTGCAGGCGCAGTATCGTCACGCGGTAGCCGTCATCGGTCACTCTCGGCAGTACGAAGTACTCCCTGTGGACATTTTTCATTTTTCCAACTCATTCTCTCTCTCTGTGTTCGTTCGTCATTGAGCCATATAGAGGAAAGTATATACGACGATAATTACACAACGTCGCAGCTCTGCTGCACGTCCCGGGCGAGGGGATCGCGCGCCGCGAAGAATTCCGGCAGGGCCGTGCGAGCGCTGAAGTAGGTCTCGAGGATCTTTTTGCATCGCTCCACGCTGTTCTTGCAGCCGAACAGGAAGTGCTCGAGTCTCTTGTCATCTGCGACGATTAAAAAATGGTTCGCGCGAACGTTGAATTATTATTACGGGAAAACGAACGTGTCGAGAATTCGATGCATACCCATGTGGTCCGGCAGGTGAGGCTGCTTGGCGAGCCACTCGCGTATCGCGGCGATGTCCCTGCTCCGCATCTCGGGATCCGGCGGCAGTTCCTCGTCGATTCGCCTCTGCTGCTCCACGGTCGGCGGTAACAACGACATGATTCGGTTTTCACTGCTTACAAAGAATCACATTGAAATTAGTATATAAAATCGGAGGCATTTTTTTCTTGGCGAAGATAAATTTAAACTTATGTGAAAGCTTTTAAATTGTTGTAAAATGAGGGAAATCATGAAGATGAGTTTTTTGAAAACCGTGCTTTGACTTATACAATTATCTTTACTTTACTACTTGCAGATTTACAGAATAGAGTTACTCGCCAGCTACTGGTAGAAACTTAATCTTAATCATAATAGCTTAAATGGTAGCTTTACTGTCCTCTCTTAAATTACAAAATAAAGTTTGGATTATGAAAAGAGAGAGAAAAAAAAAAAGGGCAAACTATTCATACAGCGATTAATTCGTGCTTTGACTTATACAGTTATGTTTACTGGTCCACTTGCTGATTTGCAGTAAAAAGGCACTCGCCATCTGGTGATGAAGGCTGATATTAATAATGATTCAATTTCTATAAATTTTATGGGCCATTCAAGCAAAAAATAAAGCAATATTAAACCACCAATTTTCATCAAATTGTTCAAATTTGAGCAAAGAATTTGATCTTTGTTTGTCATTTTGCACTAATAATAATGAACGCAATTGCACGTTCCATGAATTTTTCGTGCTCTTATTTTACATTAAATCTGCATTAAAACATTTTTTTTAACAGTGTAGTTTTATCTACGCGCAGACAACGAGAAATGAGAAATTAATCATCGATACGCGATAAATCGCCGTACCCAGCGAATTAATTGTATACGCTTAAATACATAAGCAGTATGCAATTCACTTGGCTCGCGGATTTTGCCACACGAACAAAGGGTTATAATAAAAGAAGAAAAAAAAGATCTTCGCACGAGCGTATATATATAGTACGTACGAAGAATCGCACGACAATTAACGACGGCGCACCGCGCGAGCTCGTATAAAGACGCGTATGAAGCACACGCGGGGCAAGGCAATCGCGCGCGCGCGCTCGAGCCCCAAGGTTTACCAGAGACTATCCGCAGAAAGTCTCGTCTTTTTACCTTTTGCGGCCGAGGCGGCGACGTCGTTAGCCTCGTTCTTTCGATTCGATTTTATAACCTACTCCTGTGCAACGTACGTATATACGTGACTTGTGTATCGATTTTTGAGACTTCAGTTACTCAAGATTTTTTTTCTTTTTATTTTGTTATTTCATTCACGTGTCAACGAAAAAAAAAATGAAGATGCAATACCTGCCTACTATCGTCATTGTCATGCATCGCGCGACGAAATATACAATACACGCGTGCCGCATATATCGAGTAATTGCGGCGTATAAGATCGGCGTCGCGTTTCGATTGCAAAAAGTGAAATTGCACGTGCGCGCGCGCCAGCGAGGGCGTAAGCCACCTGCATAAGTATCGACGCCGATCGCCGCCGATCGATGCGTGTCGCGGCTTTTCGTTTCGATTCGAGTAATTGTATACTTAGCGCGGAGAGCCTGTATAAGGCTGTTCTTTCTTCGTCTAAATATGTTTAGTAAGAATTTGATTATAATTTTTCCTGCGATTATTGTTGTCGAGAGAATATAACAAAGGCGAAAATCACGAGTCGCGTTTAAGCCGTCTCTTACGTATTACACGATATTGACCGCGGGATTTACATACCCTCGTTGGACTATTACATATTCCAAGCACGAAATGTCTCTTCGTCGCTAAATGACTTTTTAGCGCTCGTGTATATTATGTAGAGGCACTTGCATCGACCACAGATATACCACGCGCTTTGCCGGTTTCGGGATGAATTTTCATTCGTATAAATAAATCTCTGGATGTGTACTACTACTTTACTGGCTAGCCTTCGATCGCGCGCCGTATTTGTTTTTCTATAATTGCCTAGACCGCGAGTGCATTCGTGAGGGAATTATTTATCTTTCAATTTAACGTCAGTAAAGCGTGACTGAAACATTCGAACATATTTATGATATGTTCATCGGGGAATAGCGTCGATTTTTTGGAGTGTATGGTATTGTCATAGTCAGTTGAATATGATGTATGATGAAAATGGCTATGATTGGTAGTCATTTAACTATCGTCTCTTATTATAAAACTATTTACTATAATTTTTTGAGAGTAACACAACATACAATTGCCCAATTCTACTATGTTGCATAGGAAAACTCGTGACATCGTTTAGATTGATAAATCGACAATAGATGGCGAACGACGATTTTTAGCGAAACCCGCAAGCGGCAAGATATGTTTGAAATGAATATATATATATATAAGAATTTTTAAGCAAATTGTAGCTCGTGTAAATTGTTGTTCTCAGACATTTTTTGTTATTCATTATTTGAAATTAAATATAAATTTCTCTCAGTATCACATAATTCTCGTATATTTCAATAGGCAAATAGTAAAAGCCATGAGTTTATTATGGGCATAATTTCATTACAAGCAAGTTTACAGTTGGACGAATTAAACACAGCTTGGCCATACTACACTGAAAAAACTGTTGTTGTGCTAAATGCTGGTTTATTTGAACTAAATACTTTTCTTTTGAATATTGAAGTTGAAACAAATATTTAAATAATTGAAATGGATATTTATTTGATATGAATTATTTTTCAGTTAATTAACAGGTCATTTTGACGTATGTCACTCACGAAGATTAAGTTCACGTCTGGATTACGATTTACAAAATGACGTTTATGACAGATAAATAAATGCATCAAAGCCTCAGGTATGAGGCTAAATCATAATTTTATGAATCGAATGAATATCTTGAGAACGAACTTACCCTGCTGCCAATTGATTAGTGTACCAAAAAAGATAATCGGAGATCAGCCGCGCGTCCGGTATACGCACTGATGACCCGAACGATCGCACATTCGCTACTCGCGGGCTCCTTCAACGATTCCCTCGTCGCGGATGTACGGTGTACAAAATTTTCACCGCCGAAAAATCGTAAACAAGCGACGCAACTCGGTCATCGTATTGTAACAATAATGATAATGCAATCGTAACGAGGAAACGAAATTTCGATAACACACTCGGTTATGATTGTTGATAAACTTTTTGACGGATGGACTCCCAGGACGGATACGCGCGCAGCACACACACCACCGACTCGGCGAGCGAACAAAAAGTCTCTGCGAGAAACGATTTGTTTATATTTTTTCAATCGCTCCGAGCTCACAGATGCGTCCGCTTGCACATAAAAACATACATACTCACACACTCGAGCGTATGTGTGCGTCGTCGTTCTCGGAAAAAAACACGTCTGCCTTGAGCCGCGAGTCGATGCGGAGTAACGTCGGCGCGCAACGAGCGAAATACTGCACACACGCAGGATCGCGTTCCGCGCTAAAAAGAACAAAAAAAAAAAAAAAATACCTCGCGCGACTCGTGCCCCCCCGCGTACGCGATGCATGAATGCAATTGCGCGAGACTCCTGTGTATACGAGTGTGTTGTCTCTCGTGGCTTCGTTGCGTTGCGTACATACTCACTCCCACCTGCGCGTAAACATGCACGTACTCGCGCCGCCGATCGCATAAAGTGCAATTTTCCATTCTTTCGGTGCGTTCCCGCGCGCGCACGGTGCAGACGCCAGACGCGCGACCGTGTTCAGAATCGGCGAACGATGTTTGGAGTAGATTTTAGTCCTTTTATAATTATTACTATTTTTCTGTATAATACGTTGAATGAACGATTAATTAATCAGTGATTATACCACACACGGGATAAATTTTATGAATAATTTACAACTTGTTCTCATGTTTTAAATGATAAATGAATCTAATCATAGGTACTTACAACCTAGGATGAAGAAGAATGAAGATACAATTATTATACGTTTTATGATTGTTTTATGACGTTTAATACACAAACTTTATTATTTCACTTTCGGAATCGATCATGACATCTAGCGGTTAATTTCAAAGCTCGTCACCAATGACTGAAAAGCCCAAAAATATTAAAACTCACAGGCGAAGTGTTTTTCTAGCCATTTTATTCAATCTAGCTCATATTTTATCTCAAAATTGGCAGTTAATTAAGCAAATATTATTAATTAATGAAAGCACCATAAAAAACGCTGTAGATTCACATTGCATGTACTAAAATTTTGTACTAATTAACCCTGCAATTCATCAGTGAAGTTCATCAGTAATTTCTATTACAAAATGACTACAATTTTGACTTTGCTTTAAAAACAAACCAACAAGTATATTTCTTTTTCACGCGAAACGACAAATTGACATCGAGTAACGAGAGCAAATGTCCTTTAACGTGGGAAGGCATGCAGTTCCGAGCGTCATCTTTTATAAAAACGAACGAAAGTTTGATGTAAGCAGAAAAAAAATCGGACGCAACCTTGTCGCGTACGAGCGCGAATGAGTAGCAGAGAGAAGAGTGTCGCCGTCGCGGTGCAAATCAATTACAGCTGTTTGCGAAATTTCTTAATCGATGGGTAACGCGTTGTGTACATGTAAATGTACACAGTCGTTCAACGGCAACGTATTGATAAGCCAGCGTGGACTCGTTTCTTTTTCTTCGATTCCTAGAGCAGGTGCTCTGCGATAGGCTCGAAAAAAAGTTTTTGAACCAGTGAATTTCGTTTATATGTAATAAAACTAAATTAAATTACCGACAAATTTGAGTATGAACGTATATGTTAGTAACAATATCTTGAAAATGAAATATTCAATTACAATGGATAAAAATTTTTATTTTATAATTTTAACTATTGTAATTTAAAATGATCAAATCAATGTATAATTTGATTAAAAATTGAATAAAACATATGCGATTGATTACATTTTTAAGAATAAGCTCGTTGCCGAGGTATTGTCAGCGGTTTGTTATAAGTTACGTCCAGAAAATTAAAATTATTTGTTTCAATCTTTCGAATATGTTTTTTTAAACAGTGATCGTAAAAAAGTATAGCAGAGCATCAAATTCAGACCAACATCAGGTGAATTCACATATAGTTTTCTCCAGATAATTTCGGGTTTATTGGATTTTTAGAACAGTTTTTTTAGAACACTTGCGTAGTAAATGTAAAACAGAGCAGGTATAGTAAGATTTTAGACTACGTACGTAAGTTTAGACTATATTATTTTAAAAGTTAAATGAGGGAAAAAGAAATTGATAGTTTATTTTGGTTTTTAATATACGACAATTGTTTCATTTTTTTGTCATTATTACTTTTCTATATTATAAAATATAAATCGAAGTTGAAAGTTTTTCGCGTTTATTCGCAAAAGCGCGTCTTGTACTGAAAACTCAAAAATATAAAACGTTCAAGAAAAAGTTCATGAAGCTCATCTGTAAAATTGTAAACAAAGCGAGAGTGACGTTTTGGAGCGATGATCGATAGTATTTTGAAGACGAATGTATGAGTCGATACTGTCACTGGGGTCAAATAGAAATTGTTCTGTTTTGAAAAAATTAATTGCATGGAGTATAGCATCGAATATATTGAATACAAATTTTTTCAATTTTAGGCAAGGTTGATGTTTTTAAGAATCAAAATCCAAGTTGTACAAAATCTCCGGCGCAGACTGTAAGAATAGCAGGTAAGTTTATCGGGTAATCAATTTACAGGGGGAACTAGTTATCACGTGACGTTCATGCAATCTTTCGGGGGACTTCATTCATACATTAATGCGGTTTCAGAAACTGAGAAACAAACTCTGAGGTTCATTTTATTTTATTATTCTAAAGAAGCTATTTCTTTGAGAAAATATTTTATCGAAAATTCAGAAATTCGATTGTAATTATATTTTAAGTATGATTAGAGAATCACGTTAATATGTCATAACATTTTCCTTTTCAAATCTCACTTGGATTTAAATATTGTTTTATATTTGTGCACACGAGCATCGAACGATTTATGTTTTTTTAGGCGATCGATTCATATCTACTTTCGCACGTGTCGTCTGTAACTGCCAAACGTCCCGCGCGCTTTAACCAACAAAATCGTAAACAAGAAATTTTTGATGATATATTACAGCATCAATATCGTATGATTGTTTTCAAAAAATTCGTGGTATTATCACTTATTAGCTCAAAATTTTGCATACCGAGTCGACGAATTCGTTCTAAAAATAAGTAAACATGGTTGACTGTCTGACTCTGTGCAACACTAGCTGCTTGGCCTGCATCTGGTGCTTTTTACTCTCGCTCTGGTGAGTCGCCATACATTTGAATCGATCGATTCATTGATTAGCGTTGATAATATAAGTCTTATCGGTAATGGGATAGACTTTAATTTTTTTTTCAATTAAAATATTAAAGTCAGTGAATTTCATAGTTTTCCAGGGCACTTCACCAATTTCGACGACGCCAACTCCGACACGTGCTCTTTGCGCGCGATGGTGAGACCGAAGAACAAATGTCGAAACAACGTCACGCGTCGTCGAGTCTGCTCGGCTGCCAATTGCAGAAATAAGGTCTACAAATCTTGCAACGGCACGAAAAAATAATAGAGCTAGTCGATTCACTCTAGAGAACGGATATTGTGCATATGAATGATAAATAAAAAAACATTTTACAGCGCAGACAAGTTCGTATTTATTTATCGAATGAGATTATTTGCGTAGAAGTGATTAAAAAAATCTTCGCTGCTCAATTGTATCTCCCTGTTCGAAAAAAAAAAATATATTTCCAGTCAAAATAGAATTTTAATCGTATTAGATTCGATTAACACATTTGACACAGTAAAGAGTCGTGATAGATAAGCCAGATAATCATGCAAATTTTATATCTGTATCCAAGGCAGGCTGGAAAAGAGTCAATGTCAATAAAGTTTCTCTCTTGAAACGTACACAAGGTAGAGTGCGTGATTCTTACTACCTTTCACCGCGTTGTGCATTAATCATGATTGGGGGCCTTTATCGATATTTGTTTGACAGCGTAGATTTCTTAGTAATATCAATACAGTGTCATCGGTTCGATATTTATATTTTATTAGAGAGCAAAAAAAAATTACCCAATTTTAAAGAGATACACAAAAGACATTGTTACAGCGTTACATTCTTACAATCAGTAATTTTTAAATCGTTGAAAGTCATTGAACGAGTAGTTGTTGTTGTTGTTGCCGGTCGATGCATTACTGCCAAGGCCACAGCCGCCGCTCGGTCGTTTGCCTTTCGCGACTGCAACAGTGGGATACAGTACCAAAAAGTTAATGGCCACACTTCGATCGGATACTTTTTTTTTTTCGAGTTAATGAAAAGCACCATATGTACCTTTCGCACACTTGCCACCGGCGACGCTCAGATCGGCATCCTCGAAATTCAAGAACGAGCTAGTCTCGAGATAGGCTTTTCTCTTGGCTTGCTGGGTGCAGGGAGAGCAGCAGCTGAAGTACTTCTGCTGTTTCTCGGCGCACGGGCAGCGACTCTCGGATCCCGAGTCGCATTTTTTAACCGCTCGCGAAGACGATGGCTGCTTCTGTTGTACCGCTACTCTGCTGCTTCGATTGCACGACGACGGCTTCGAATAGCCGCGACAAGATTTTATGTCATTTTTCCGCCTTTTCAGCGCTGAACAGGCCACCTGAATTACATACACACACATACAAGACTCGTCAAATAAATTAACACAATTATCAAACGTCTGAGAACTTACGATCGTCGTGGTGCAGATGCAGCACAGGTAGGAGATGCAGGCGATGCATATACCGACGCCGAAAGCGTCGATCATTTCATATTTTTCGTATCCCCCTGCACCGAGTAACACCACATTAGATTCGATATTTTAGAACATTTTTTGGCATTAATGAACTTGTAATGCGTTGTTTTGATTGATCTCCGTATACATGACGCAATGGGAGGTTAATTTTTTTTTGTCGATCTATACCGGTAGCGGCCGGTCGGAAGTCGGCCGCGAGTGTCATTGACCGAGATCCGAGGGGGATTTAAAAAGTCATGGTCATTATTATAAGAGCATAGAAACTCATAAAAAAATTTAAATAACTCCAATATAAGAGAGAGAGATGCTTTCTTTCGAGCGAATCGTGTCAAATTTGGACCTTGGAAAAATTCGTAGTATACGATTATTGATAATGAATACGCTCGATTTACGTAATACATATAATTTTTTTTTATCTCGCGAAACCGGCGTGTTGTGAAACTACTCGTGTAATTTCGTACGTATATGTGATTAGCGTGAATGATAAATTCTCCTAAACATACACTGGAAAGTAATTATTAATACATATATTTTCGGCGACGGTTCTCGATTATACGAATTTATTTGCTCGTCGAAAACTCATCGATCGTCAAAGGTTTACAAAAATGTCAATATCGAGTATTGTTGTTTGTCTTGGCATTACTCTCCGGTTAATAATTTTTTCCTCCTTTCGGATAATTTTTACAATAAATCAAATGGCGCGATACCATTTTAAAAAAAATATGTAAAGATAGTTTGTGCAAATATTACCGTTCATCCGTGTATTAAAATGATCGAGCCGTGCGCACGTGTGTGTTTGATTGACGCATCGATCAGCATCGAAAAATTCTTGCATCGTTCGATCAAAATTTGTCATCGTGCGCACAACGCGTGCCCGCTACGAACTCGAAGGTAGACAAGAAAAAAAAAGAGACGAAAAAAGAAAATTGACCGATACGTAAAGAGCAGTCAAAACAAACTTCACGAATTACGTATTATATTGTATTATTATGGTAGATAGAAAAGCCAAAAATCCCATAAAAACATTCGCATTCGACCCTTCGCGCGCAAACCCCTGGGGCAGGTAAAGGTAGTGCTTGCCACATACAAAAGGCCGAGAAGACGACACAATTAAGCGACACATTGTATACTCGGCCGCGTATAAAGTTCGCCTCTTTCTCTTCTCGGCATCGATCACACGCGCGACGCGCTTATGAATATGTGCCGCAAAATCTATAATAAGGGTGGATAAATCAAGGCCGGATCCACGGGTGGTCCCTCGCGCGCGAATCCAAAAGGGGAGTATATATGGGTAGTAAAGTCGCCGCTCGAGGTGAGTATACGTTATAGTGTAATTGCAGCGCGATCGAATGACAGATAAGACGAATTTGCCATTGAGGCATGTGGAGATGTCCTTCGGTTTTCATATCATTGTTGCCGCACTACTATGATACTGATGCTGCGGTTTTCGAGGTATATTTGGGGTCGACGTATAGAGAAATACGTTAACAACAGGCTAAGGAGATATAGGGGATGTTTCTTATAAGAAAATATTCGACTCAAATTTACAAAGATTAAGAATTAAGTTTATTGTATAATATTTTCATTTTTTGTACACGTGACCTTTCGTACGACAATTGTTTTGACTCGAGTCTCATTGGCGCGCGCGCAAACACGCAGATAAGTCGATCTCGATGATTTATTGCTACGAAATAATATATTGTTTACATTGTGTTCGAGCGTCGCGTCGGAGTTTCCGCGCGATACGCCTCGTACTATTTTGTTATACTTATTTATTGCACTTTGTACACGGGCTCGCCGAGCCTGTTGCCGGCCGGTCCGTAATTGCAGACTAGATAGACGTGATTGAAACGATCGGGCTTGTGCCTCACCACGCCGCAGCCGATCTTGTCGGTCTCGCCCCAGACGATCTGGGTGTAGGTGCCCACCGGTTTGCCCGTGACGCTGTAGGATCGTCTACGAAAACAAAGAATGAAATCATTATTATTTATTCTTAGTAATGAAAAAAAATCGCTTATTTTTATATAGACGTGAAACTCACTTGAAGCTAGCGACGTCGTTCTTGTCGTAATACTGGACATTGTTGTACCACATCCTGACGATGTTCTCGACCTGGATGTTGTTCACGTCACCGGTGGTTCCACTGGTACCTGCATTCTGGTTGACTTGGAAGCGTTCTGAAAAAATTATGGATAGTTTTTAGCAATTGTAAACATTGTTACTTCCGAGAAAAAATTATGTACTATGATACCCACCTACGTCATTGCACATTGGTGATTTCATCGAGCACTGATCTGCCCACCTTTGAGCGATAGTAGCTAACTCGTCGTCCCACACCTATGACAATATAAATATTTACACGATAGTAATACGTGATATTGCTAACGCGAAGGAAAGTTTGGCTTTATATAGTGCGTGACTGATGTCGAATAGAAATTTCAAGCAAAAAAATGACGCTTTTGTCACTTACCATTGTCTTCATGTCGGAAGCTTTGGGTTGGGGTCCGGGACTGCCTCGGCTCTCCTCTCCCCTGGCTACCTTGGCTCTGAGCTCGTTGTGAAGATCGACGATTCTCTTCTTCTCATCCTCGGACAGGCCGCTGCTGATCACCTGTTTGCAGACTGGCGATGCTCCTCCGGTCTGTACACAGATCGATTACATTGATCAACGATTTGTTGGGAATATTTTTTTTTTTATAGAAAAAATTCACTTCGAACTAAGAAATCTTACGGGATGAGCGCACATGACGTGCTCGGGTCGGGAGGCATACTGGCACGAGTACAGGTGACAGTAATCCGCAGCGCTGACCACGACTGCACAGCAGATGAACGCGAGGAACAGACTCTTCTGGTCGATCATGATGAAGATGATGATGACGATGATGAGGAATAAACGTTGTCGTGCAACTGATGCGATGAATTCAAATTCTTCTGCTCTTATATATATGTACGAAAATGTATCTTCGAGATACACAGCATTATTTTTCTTAATCTTATCGCCTCTCTCTCTTCTTCTTTTAATTTTTAATGCTCATCTCAAGGCTCGTTACGAGCGTCACGCACTTTGGAGAAGGAAAATTACGTGAGGGTATATAACATTGAAATTGTAGTACAAAAGTCATTAGCGATAAATTAATATTTCTCTTTTTATTTTTAAAATGTGCGTTGCAGTGCCATCTTGTCGTTGGCGTTAATAAAAGGCATTGGAATAAGCGTTACATTTGTTCGTTTTTTGGCTGCTTTGCGTAAACCCGGCGCCCCGCGTCTTATCAGCCTGTTTATATTTTCGCAATATTTTTTTCCGACTAGAACTATCTTAACAAAAAAAAAAATAAATGTTTTCTAAATTCATGGTAAAGCGGCGGAAACCGTTGGGTAAATCCAACCTGGGGATAACGATATCAATACTATACGATGGCGCTCAATGCCAGACGTATGGAAATAAAATTTGAAGAAAAAAAGAAGAGCTCAGCGCGTTTCGTAAAGAGGTTGACCCAAGAAATTGCCCCCGGGTCCGTAATTGCACACGATATAAAATTTGTTGTAATTTCCATCTCTGTACTTCACGGCTCCGCATCCCATTTTCGTTGTCTTAGCCCAGATCATTTGAGTGTAATGGCCAATGGGCTGGCCATTGGCTCCCTTGTTGCTGTAATTAAAATTTAAGGTTTTTATCTCGACTTTATGCATTGAGACAAGGGGATAATAAAAGTTTTGATTACCGAAATTTAAGTACGTCATCCTTACTGTAATGAACTACTTCGTCGTACCACATGTAAACCATTTCTTCGATTTTCAGACTATTTATGTCCCCGGTGGTGGACAGATAAGCGATATTTTGACCAACTGTGAATCTTTCTGTGAATTTTTTACATACAAGTATAGAAATTAGGATCGTACATCAATGAAAAATAGACATGTATCAAAGAAGTATACTTACTTACGTTTCTCTCACGATCGTGTCCCCAGATACATTTATCTGCCCACCTTTGTGCAACTGCCGCTAGTTCATCGTCCCATTCCTGCATGAAATTTATTCATTTTAAATGGATAGAAAAATAACTTGGACAAATAAGGTCGATAGATTAGTTCATAAAAATTAGTGCTAATAAATGTTAATAAAAAAAAGAATTTTTTATTGCAGATTATAGGAAACTCAATAAATCAAAATTCTTGAATGTAAGACTTTTTCATGAACAAAAGTATTTATCGACTACTTTTTGCAGATGCATTTTATTAGATAAAATGATATCGAAGTACTAACCAAATTCGGCATGAACTTAGCCGGCGGTTGGGGACCAGGACTGCCTCTTTTCTCTTCGCCCCTGGCCACCTTCTGTCGCAGTTCATTGTGCAAATCGATCACGATTTTCTTATCGCTATCACTTAATCCGGACTCGATTATTTTTTTCGAAAACTGCAGAACATTCAATCAAAAATATCGTGTATCGCTCGGCTTTTCATCCTGTGCATGAAACTTCGCACGAGGCACAACACAACACAAATTTTTCAGGCGAAACGAACATGTAACGACGGCTTTTTATACAAACTGTGAACAATAAACATCAAAACCGTCGCATATAACATAAATCTTGAAATTTTCCTTACCATCTCTGCGTGTGTGTGTGTGTGTTTTACTGTGAATTTTGCCGCAAAACGCAATTAAACCCCCACGCGACTCTCGACCTTTTTTGAACTAATAACAAATGCACTCGATACCAGGTGCGCTCGAGCTTATAGCTCGTAAACGTCAGTCGAGGCTCTACTCGACTTCTTTTGACCAGCAGTAAAACACAAAGGTCTTATCGAGACTCTTAAGGCTTATAATCAACAATGCAGGCAGAATTACCCGGTATATATATCGCTAAATGCGTAGCAATGACGCATAGGGCCTAAAAGCATAGGTGTATACAAGATGCTACTCTTGGACATGACAATAATATCGAATCTTCTAATCTTTGAGAGTAAAAAATATGCGATAATGTTTATTTCAGGGTTACATAAATGATGAGTATCGCACCAAATGATAAAGCGGCGTCTTGCAAATTATTTTACGAGGAGCTCTCTCGTTCTCGTTTTAATGGCAACAATATGACGCGAGGAACTGTAAAACAATGTGACGCATCCTGCAATAGCTATATTGTCATTGCAGTTAGGCTGTTACAGTTTCTGGAAAGATGACTGTGAGGCTCTTATCGAGAAAAATACAATGTTTTGATGAATTTTTGATCGTGGAATCATAGATACAGACTTAGAACAAAATGTATAAACACACGTTCTTCTTTTAAATAAACATGAACGCGCTTTGACAGTCTGCTCATCATTTATATATAATCTCCAGGTATTGTTTGATAAAAGCGATGTACCGACAGATTACTCATGACTACACTCACGCCTCGGGTTTATCGATACGCGAATTGAGTCAGTAGATACAAGCCGTTGTTTTTGCATAAATTAATTTCAGCCGACGAAAGCTGGAAAAGATGGCACATTTAAAGAAAGTTTGAATGAAATTTACATATGATTTTCTAACCGTTCTAGGTCAATTATTTTGTATAATGTTTGAATAACGATTGTAGGTGTTCTAAGATACCTGAAACAATAAATATAACAAGATTTTTTCTACTTAAAATTTAATGATGGTGGTTAGTTTTCAATTTGCATCATTTTGTGTATAATAAAAGTACTTTAAATTTAATGCAGATACTGGGAATCCCACTTTGTCTCTGTATTCTTTATTACGAATAATTTTTTTATCACATATGATGAGAAGAAGATGTGAACACTTAAAATTTAATTTTTATCTTAATCTAGCAGAATAATATTTCAAAATTTAATAAAAAAAATTGAAGGTTAAGATGTTTTAGATAATATGGTTTATCTCTGAAATAATGGTTAAAAAGTATCGTAAAAATTGTAAAATAAGATGCATAAAATTGGAGGAATTATTCGACATATTTTGTAAAAATCTTCAATACCTTGAAATGATTTAAAATTAATTTTATCGTATTTCTGTAATTTTTGACTGTAGTATATTTTTACTATTTCCAATAAAAGTAATATTGAAATTAATTGAAAAAATTTTTGAAAACTTTAAATTCCTTACATAAATTTTTTTCGTATTAGGGATTAGGTGATTATTTTTGGCGAATTGAATATAAAAAACAAACTGGCTGAAACATTTTTTGCAGTATGTTAATAGATAATTGTCAATTGTATTGTCTAAAGATAATATCTTATTGATTTAATTTTAAAAATATGCCCAATGGCACTTTTCTTTGAATTGCACATTTTTTTTTTAATACACGCTTTATTTCTTAGCCTACAGTGATAAAGAGTTTGAAAGAAATTGAAATTTTCAGATGCCGAATATAGATTTTATATAGCTCAATTGTTATTGTGCAACTTTATGACTCTTTTATTAATGTGCAAAAATTAGTTACTTGCGGAACGACCATTAACGATTTTTTTCTATTCCATCTCTTCCGGTTTGAACTGTATTTATTGAGATGAAGCAAAAAGTGGCAATAGTCTTGATTTTTCTTTTCAGTTCAGCTTGTAGTAGCAATGGAGTTGCTTGCAGTATTTGTCATAATTCATTTAACATTTCAGTCGTGCGTAGTTTAGTTTTTAGGTATACCGGCTACAATAAGGATTCATAAAAGTGAGATGAAAAAAAGTAAAAATTTATCCGTCAGAATAATAATCACAGTCCGGGCAAGTAGTTAAAAGCTTAGATGAGGAATAATACGTCTCACCGAAATGGTCGAAAAAAGTGCATTATTAAAATGAAAATAGTTACTTATTAGCTCAATTGCGTTCAATTAATGTTTGCGTAAGACGCTACACACTAGAAGGAAAAATAATCCAAGTTTTGTATTGCGAGCACTCTATTAATCGATATCACGTGCTTACGATCGGCAAATATTCACTTCGAAATTGACCAAGAACACAATAGGTAATTGATACAGCTTGATCCACAGACGTCCGACTGTTTCTTCTTGCTTTTATCTTAATTTATCGGTGAAAAAATGTGCACTAGACCCATGCGCGAGCCATTCAAATAAGCCGGGTGGCAATAAATTAACTTCGCCAGGTACTTTTATCCTCGTCATAATTTATTCACAAACGTGACTTTGTTAAAACGCAGCTACGGAAGTGTCAATCTTTTTTTTTTTTAATGCTACACATCCAAAGCTTCTAGTTAGCAGCGATTTGACATGAAGTATAACGCCAGTAGTTGAACGTTACACTTGTTCCCATGTGGCTCAACGACAAATTTAGTCCTCGGTTTTTCAATTTTGACCACTCAATTTTTGCTATACATCTTTCTTTTAGTAAAATACACATCGAGCGAAGAATAAATTATTGTTAGTAAATGTACTCAAACTATAAGTCAATAAAATTGATGAATATATTTCCTCGTTGAACAGCGAACTCTTATAAATAGTGCCGGCGTGCATAAAGTTCTACAATAGTTCGGACGCATCCACGTGAAAAAACTATTATCAAGATGACGAAGAGTCTTATCGTCTGCTCCTTGGCAGTAATTTCGTTGATTAATTTCGGCGATGCCCAAAATTACTGCAACTTGAATAAGTGCCAAGGAAATTCGCACACCATGTGCCAATATCGGGTATAACGTGAAGTAAATTTTTTTTCTTCAACGAATAATTTTTTTTTCTGTTTAACCATAATCAGTCAAACAATGCCGGCTCGAAATGCGGAAGAGTTTTATCGGCCGGTTTATCGGAAAACGAAAAGAGAACTATCGTCAATGTGCACAATCAACTCAGGCAAAAGGTCGCCAACGGTCGAGAGGGCCGAGGATTACCAGGACCCCAGCCTGCCGCTAAAAATATGCAAAATTTGGTTGGTATATTTATTTCAGTTATCTTTTTTCATAGTTCGTTAAATAATTTCTGCTTGATTTCGCGAATTTCACAGCAATGGGACAATGAATTAGCCACCATTGCTCAAAGATGGGCCAACCAATGCGACTTCAATCACGATAAATGCAGAAATGTCGGTAAGATCTCGTGAAACTTTTAGTCTTGTAATGATGCTTATCTATCCAAGATGTTAACGATATTCTTTAATTATTGTAGAAAGATACTCGGTTGGTCAAAATATTGCCTACGTCGGCACTACCGGCGATGTGAACACCCTCAAAGTTGAAAGTATGGTTAACAACTGGTACAACGAGGTGAAAGACTACAGTAAAAACAGCGTCTCTAAATTCACGTACGTTGAATTTGATTTCAATTTAAATATCTCATTTTTTTCTCTGACTAAAGACTCGCGTTTGATTTTTCTTCTGCAGTAGCCTCAAAGGACCCAATGGTAAGGACGTCGGTCATTACACTCAATTGGTTTGGGCTAAAACGAACAGAGTCGGATGCGGTGCCATGAGATACAACGACGGTCGTTTCAACAAATTCTTCTTGGTTTGCAATTACGGACCAACGGGTAACTACCAGGGACAACCCGTGTACGAAAGACGTTAATTTTTCTTTTCTATCGAAGAAAATTTTCTCGATAAGTACAAAAAGTTTATTTTTTCATTCGAGATACGTCAATAGCATTTAAACAATTGTGTACCTAACAATAACAAAATAAAAATTCTAATTGAAAAATTTCTGGCTTGTTCTTTTTCGACCGAAAAATTCCTTTCTCGAATTTGATCAGCTAATTTTTTTCAAACGCGATCTTTTTCCAAAACACAAATAAAGAATCTCAAACTGTGGCAATAGGTACGTCGACGCTCCAGCAGCAGCGGCGCGTTTATTTACTATGAATACAAGAGCCGATCATCACTTCGGCGTATTCTATGTTTTTTTGTTGACACTTATAATTCTCATATCTTATCCAAGTTAAATCTGATGTAGTCAATTAGCATAATTGGGTTAACCAGGAATTACGCCATCGTCTGTATACACTCGAATCAGAAAAGACCACTTGTAGTAGCTCTCGTGTTAGCTAATTGATAAAGAGAGTCTCGAACGCACTACTATTTTTTTTGTTTAGATTATGATCGTTATCTCGATTTGATTCACCCGATCATCGTATGAAAACCAATCGAATCGATGGCAAATGTTCGCCTCATCGAATTCGCATATAAATACGAGACACCGTGGATCGATTGAATCAAAAACAGTCCAACAGCCAGAATTCGAAGAGCGATTTTTTACTACAAGAGTGCAAGAGTGAGAAGAAAAATGATGATCAAGATTCTGATCTGTGCTCTGGCATTCGTGCTGGTCACGAGCGATTTGTCGAGCGCCGAGTGCAACGAGTATTGGATTTCGTACGAAAGGCCTCATCCTCGGCCAAACCCGCGACCGCGTCCGAATCCACAGCCTCGACCTCAGCCACGACCTCATCCGGAGCCACAGCCGGAGGATCCGCAGCCGGAGCTAAAGCCGAGTGTTTCGCACACCAAGGACGTTTGTCGTCTGTCCACTTGCCAGGGAAAACCTAACACCGAGTGCTTGTTCAGGGTACGATTTTCACTCATGACTTTCTGGAGGAGGAACCCTCGCGCTTCGTCTCCCTATAAAATATAGCTCCTGATTTTTTCATTTATTTTAGGATTACACTCCATCGGCAAATTGCGGCCGCGTTATGACCGTCGGCCTGTCCACGGAAGAAAAGAAAGCCATCGTCGACTTGCACAACGAGTTGAGAATGAAGGTGGCTCGCGGACAGGAGCGCAGAGGCGCACCCGGACCACAGCCCCCCGCGACCGACATGCAGACGCTCGAGTGGGACGAGGAGCTAGCTCAGACCGCCCAAAAGTGGGCCAGTCAGTGCATCTTCCAACACGACCAGTGCAGAGATCTCCGTAAGTATATATTATATCGGCATGTCTCGGGCTTTATCAACCTAAAATGTTATACTTTATTTTCTTGTTTAAATTTTCAGCCCGTTTCCAAGTTGGCCAAAATCTCGCTTGGAGAGGCAACACATCTAAGCAAGGGTTCTCGCAAATCACCGCTGAAATTCTCGTAAAAGACTGGTACGACGAAGTACAATATTACAACAGAAACAGCGTTCACTACTTCAAGTAAGTTTTTCATCTTTAAAAACTTTAAAAACTTTAAAATTATTTCTCAACAACAATTAATTGCCTATTGTAGCTCTCTGTACGGTGCTGGTGGACAAACTGGACATTACACACAGCTCGTCTGGGCAAAGACCAATCGCATCGGCTGCGGCGCCATAAGGAACTACCAAGGTGGCTACTACAAATTCACCCTGGCCTGCAACTATGGACCAGCTGGTAATTTCATGAACCGACCTGTGTACAGGACCCGATAAATCATCGTGCCAACGAGTACATTTTCGACAAAGGTATTGAGGATTTTTCAAAAATTTCTCGGTGCCAGCTTTATGTTAATACGTAATTTTAGGATAGTTTTAACTGTACTTTTTTATAAGAGTGTAAAATAAATAAACTCGATTTTTTAAACGTGTATCTCATTGAGCTTTTTATTGTATGATGAAGTCGCATGTCCAAAAAAAGTTTTCCCTCAGAGATATCCTCAAATTTTTTAGATTTTTTGAAATTGTCCATCACCTTTTTCAAGGGCCTGAAGTTGACATTTTTCCGAGATTCGTAAGCATTTTGAGAATTTCAAAAATTCCTAGCTTAGTGCAGAAGAACGTGATCAAAAAAATGTAGGAAAACTTTTTTGTCGGAAATTTCTCACTGCGTGCGCGAAACACGGGTTTTCTAACCTTAAAGTATCATAAAAATAGTATATTTTTTAACAACTGCGCGAAGTAGTTGACTCATCTAGGAGTTGTTTTCACCCGAGCGTAGCGAGGGTGCAAAGACTCCTGGGTGAGTCAATTTCCTCGCGGACTAGTTGCAAACGATATTTTTTAACTCTGCTTGCGAGAAACTAGGGTTTTCTGACGCTTTAAGGTTAGAAAACCCGTGTTTCGCGCACGCAGTGTTAAGGAGGTTCGGGGGTCTCAGAGGGGGACGAAGCGGGACGCGAGGGGCTCCTATATGTTCATCGTGTTAAAAAATCAGAACTGCCAACTTCGAAATAACACAAAATTATAGGTTTTTTCAATCAACTGGCACACAATTATGGCTATTATTATTAATTATATCATTTTGATGAGTTCTTTTCGATGTCTCAGGCTCAAAACAATATTCTATTTGACATTAGAGTCGAATGAGCACATATTTTTGTTGTTCTAGCTCATTTGTTGGTTAGGATACGCACAAATGACCCACGAATTTTTACACATGAAAATTTATTACTCGATAACTAAACGGTCGATGAACTTTTTTTGCAGTCAAATTATTCGTTATTAAATTTCCTATATGTACGTATTTTTTTCCATTTGGTTTTTTGTTTTTTTAAACTATGTTTATGCTCATTGAAAGTCGAAAATTGATGATTTCTTGTAAAAAACCATGTTAAAAAGTCAAATATTTTTTTTATCATTTTAACAAAATTTTTCGGTAAAAAGTTTAAACATTTATTATATACAGTTTCAAACCATGTAAAGTCAAATATTTTTTTTATCATTTTAACAAAATTTTTCGGTAAAAAGTTTAAACATTTATTATATACAGTTTCAAACCAAGTAAATGTTTTTTAAAATCTTGGCTGCATTTTAAATGAGACCCCCGAACCTCCTTAAAAAATAGCGTTTGCAAGTAGTGGACGAAGCACTTGACTCATCCAGGAGTTGTTTTCACCCGAGCGTAGCGAGCGCTAAAAAATCAAAACCCCAAGCTCGACCTATATTTCGACGAAAAATCTAATGCTGACCTTGAATTTCAAAGCTACAGCGAATCAAAAATACATCTTTCAAATAAAAACCCCTATTATTATTGCAGATTAGTCATGTCTTCTTGTATGTAGTTTTGGAGAATCTCTCGAAATAGTTGATAAAAAATATTGCGATTATTTTGTGCTTGTACTTCAATTTTTCAATCTTTAAAGAATTTTTTATACTTTTATTTATTAGTTATAGGTTGAAGAAGTAAAAAATTTTTAAAAAAGTAGGCATAACAGCCTTATTTAAAACCCTCTATGGAAGTAGCAATTGTGCATTTAAAGAATTCAGTACAGTATAACATAGAGCTTCTAAGCTGAGCTTTTGATACATGTAAGCTACTTGTCGAAGCATTTCAAGGGTTCACATAACTAAATTAAGTTCTATGCGGTCTCATTTCATTCGATAGACCATTGGCCATGGTCAAAAACTAAAAATTGAAATACAAGACCAACTTTAACTCCTTGCACTTACTCTATAAAAGAATATTTTATTAAATGAACTTCAACAATTATAAAAAAAAAGTTAATAAAATATCTTGTAAAATTGTATGTGCAAGTAGTTAAATTTAAGTCAAGTTTAATTTAAGTTAAGTCCTTTAAACTTTAACCATATAGAAACGCACGACTACTTTCAACTAGAAATTTCGCATTCATTAGGGCTTGTAGGTTGAAAGATATATTGTGGTGATTACCTCAAAACTTGAGTCTATTGGAATGCCCATTTTAGAATAGTCAAAATGAATAAAAATTATTTAAAAGCATGTAATGCCGGAACTGGCATTATCTGTTGGGCCGCCCTGACGAACCATCGTCGACTTGCCGAGTGTATAGTTAGTTATAAGAATAGTTATTAATAATTGTATTTTGAACATGATTTCATGTGAGCGCCAAGTGTGAAAGAATAAAACGTAAACACGCGTATACGTTGAAATACTAGAGCGTACATATGAACAGGAGAAGAGAGTCGAAGATTTGCCTTGAGAGCGAACGGAGCTCGAGTGTGAGAGTTGAGCGCGACATCCTGGGGATGTCTAGATCGGATTGACGAGTACCGCGCGGGTAGTGAGATCCCATGTCGCCGGAGTAAAGAGTGCGAGTATCGGTACGAGTCGATCCGAGTGCGCGAGAAAGAACCAGCGAATCCAACGGCCGAGCAGACCACAAGGACAACCAAGGGTGGATCTGGACAAGGAGAAGATCTCGACATCGTGTGGTGAGTCGGGCGGCCCAGCTCTTGGTCGTTGTATTTGTGAGTCGTACGCGCCGACGCGCCCACCAGGGCTACGATCGTCGCGTCTGTCGTCGACCGGGTATTCGGGTACTCTCTGAGGCCGTGTATATTGTTTGTTTTATACGAATAAACCTGGTAGTTGTTATTGTTACACGGAGTGTTTGATTCTTGATGGATGTGTGAGTGTAAAGAGCTTTCCTTTCCCGTATTGCATGAAATTTACAGGTAGACCCCGGACGTGCAGAACGGATCCACAGAGCCAAGGGAAACACGTAACCGACGAGGTACGTCGGGGGTAAGATACGAGGTTACAAGCAATAAATCGACGATTTTCTGTATGAACCATTTCACGTAAAGTTTTAAAGCGCTGTGTCAGCACGGGTATTATTAGGAAAATTGCATAATTTTTAATTCGAGAAAGCTCCCACATTAAAACAAAAATGTGCGACATACGTTTATGATGTGTTTTTTCCTTAGCTTATCGATGGTAAGGTCGAATTATGTACATATTTTTTCTCGAAAAAACATGGGATAAACATTTAAACTCGAATATCTAAAAAACGGCATTTTAAAGATTTTTTAAAACACTCTCGATTGAAAGTGAAAAAAATTCCCCATCAATATACTTTCCATCCAACCGTTCATGTAACTAGAGAATATGTCTTTGTCATGTAAGTACAACATATTGCAGCATAGAAACTTCAAAAAAGAAACCAAATAAAAAATGAAACAATGGAATTTTATAACTTAATACAAACAATGCAACAAACTTCTCATAGTTATCAAGTAATACCTTGAGAAAATGAAAATTTTCCATAAATACAGCTATTTTCCAGAAAACCGTTTTTTGATTCTCTTTCGATTAACGTTAAAAATTTTACATTTCTTAATTTTTTATTGTATATTTTATTGTATATTGTATCGTATAATTTTTTTTTTTTATTGTATTTTTTTTTGCCCTTTTTTGGCTCTCTTAAGGGCTCTAAAAAATAATAATAATGAAAAAATTAAAAATTTTATAGGTTCAAGTTCTAGACAATTTAATTAGCTTTAAAAGAAAAAAAGCATATCTTTAAGTGCAGTACTTTTTGAGATATCTTGGCGCCCGATTCTGAAAAAATAGTTTCGAGAAAAACGCGTTTAAAGTTTTAAAAAGTTAATGTACATACATACATCGTTCCCTCGTAAAAAGACAGCTTTGCTTTTTTGCCTATAACTTTTTAACCAAATCGATTTTGGTAAAACGGGTTTCGGAGGTGTATTCTACGGGACATTTGCTAACTTTGTAAGCCAAAAAAAAATTGATTTTTTGATCGAGTCTCATGAGAGCCTCCCCTTAAACATAAAACCCATAAACCATGGTTTTTTAATAACTAAAATTATCATTTATAATTTGATAACATAATGACGTTACAAAAACTAAAATTCTGTTCGTTATGTTCATGAGAAAAATAATACCCGTGAATTTTTTCGGTTTATATTTTTATGTTGCATGAAAAAAATAGTCAAAGAAGTCGATAGAATTACTTGGATTCAAAAAATGTATTGTTCTTAGAAGGATATAATAGTTTACTCACCTAAAAAATTGTCGGACTTCCTTAAAATTATAATTATACTTTTCATAAATTATTTCGATGTCAAAATAATGAAAAGTAATATGAAATTATGCATTTTAAACATTATGACAGTAAATTATCATAACAAACCCTCGAGGGTTGAGATATATACTGACACGTTAGACGCGACGAACACTTCTGCAATTGCACGAGAAAGCTCGTAGTTGTAGAAATCAATAAATTGTCTCATAATGAATATTCACTTTACAATGAAAAAAAAATGCCAATAGAAAAACGTTTTTTGTACATATTTTTGAAAAATAAGTTAAAAAAATTACGACTCACAATTTATCTGCTGATTTTTTCTCAAACTGTGCGTGGCAAAAGGTATCGACACTCTAATAACTATGAATAAAAATAATCGTCACCTCATTGAATTATGATTCTAGACAATTTAATTTTTATATCTTAGTCGTGTTAAATCCGATGAATCAAATTAACATAATTAGGTAAGCCACGGATTACGACATCGCCAGTACGCTCGGTTAAAAAGACCGCTTGTAGTATTATTATATTAGCTAATTGATATAGAGAGACTCAAGCGCACTTCTAATTTATTTAGATCATACCGTTATCTAAATTACATTTTTTCCGATCACCGATCATCGCTCCAAAACCAATCGGATGGATGGCATAATTCGTCGAATTGATTCGTATATAAATGCAAGACACCGAGGCTCAATTTGAGTCACGAACAGTTCGTCAGCCAACACTCGAGTAACAATTTTTACAACAAGTGAATAAGTGATAAAAAAAAATGGTGTTCAAGATTCTGACCTGTGCCCTGGCATTCGTGCTGGTCACGAGTGATTCGGCGAGCGCTGAGTGCTGGCATCGATACAGAGGGTCTAAAAATGGGGATACCATGCTGTTGGTTCCACCGGGCACGACCATAAAGTACAAGCCAAATGGTGTCCCAGTGAGCGTTCCTCTGCCAGAGCCGGATCCTCAGGATCAGTTGCCAACTCAGCCGCAGCCAATACCGAAGCCAAGTGTTTCGCACTCGAAGGACGTTTGCAATTTGCCCACTTGTTGGGGAAAACCTAACACCGAGTGCTTGTTCAAGGTTCAATTTTCACTCCTGACTTTCTGGATGATGAAATTTTCCCTCTAATAAATACAGTTACTTATTATCCTTTTTAGGACTTCACTCCATCGGCAAATTGTGGCCAAGTCCTGACCGTTGGCCTGTCCACGGAAGAAAAGAAAGCCATCGTCGACTTGCACAACCGTCTGAGAATGAAGGTGGCTCGTGGAGAGGAGCTCAGAGGTGCACCCGGGCCACAGCCCGCCGCCACCAACATGCAGATGCTCGAGTGGGACGAGGAGCTGGCTCAGACCGCCCAAAAGTGGGCCAGTCAGTGCATCTTCCAACACGACAAGTGCAGAGATCTCCGTAAGTACATATTATATCGGCATGTCTCGGGCTTTATCAACCTAAAATGTTATACTTTATTTTTTTGTTTAAATTTTCAGCACGTTACGAAGTTGGCCAGAATCTCGCTGCCAGAAGCACCAGTTACAGGCCAGGTTTCGAACAATTCACCACTGATATGCTCGTAAACATGTGGTACGACGAAGTACGATATTACAACAGAAACAGTGTTCACCGCTTCGAGTAAGCTTTTCATCTTTGTACCATATCGATGCATCCTTAAAATCTATCTGGATCTCTAATGAACAATTAATTGTCTATTGTAGCGGTCTGGCCGGTGCGGGTGGTGAGCAAACCGGACATTACACGCAGCTCGTCTGGGCAAAGACCAATCGCATCGGCTGCGGCGCCATAAGGAACTACCAAGGTGGTGACTACACATTCACCCTGGCCTGCAACTATGGACCATCTGGTAATTTCATGAACCAACCGGTGTATAATACCCAGCTGCAAACTCAGCCTCAGATGCAGATCCAGCCACGGTCGAATCCTCAGCCCCAGGGGCAGATCCAGCCACGTCCGAAATCTCAGCCTGAGCTGACGATTCAGCCGCAACCAGTAACAAAGCCAAGTATTTCGCACTCGAAGGACGTTTGCAATTTGCCCACTTGTAGGGGAAAACCTAACACCGAGTGCTTGTTCAAGGTTCAATTTTCACTCCTGACTTTCTGGATGATGAAATTTTCCCTCTAATAAATACAATTACTTATTATCCTTTTTAGGACTTCACTCCATCGGCAAATTGTGGCCAAGTCCTGACAGTTGGCCTGTCCACGGAAGAAAAGAAAGCCATCGTCGACTTGCACAACGAATTGAGAATGAAGGTGGCTCGCGGACAGGAGCTCAGAGGCGCACCCGGACCACAGCCCCCCGCGACCGACATGCAGACGCTCGAGTGGGACGAGGAGCTAGCTCAGACCGCCCAAAAGTGGGCCAGTCAGTGCATCTTCCAACACGACCAGTGCCGACATCTCCGTGAGCTTATTATCCTGTCTCGAATTTTGTTGACCGAAAAATTTTTTACTTAATTTTTCTGTTTAAATTTTCAGCCCGTTTCCAAGTTGGCCAGAATCTCGCTTGGAGAGGCAACACATCCAAGCAAGGGTTCTCGCAAATCACCGCTGAAATTCTCGTAAAAGACTGGTACGACGAAGTACAATATTACAACAGAAACAGTGTTCACCGCTTCAAGTAAGTTTTTCATCTTTATGACAGATCGATGCATTCATAAAAATTTACTTTTCATAAACTCTAAATCTAAAATTATTTCTCATCAACAATTAATTGCCTATTGTAGCTCTCTGTATGGTGCTGGTGGTGAGCAAACTGGACATTACACGCAGCTCGTCTGGGCAAAGACCAATCGCATCGGCTGCGGCGCCATTAGGAACTACCAAGGTGGCTACTACAAATTCACCCTGGCCTGCAACTATGGACCATCTGGTAATTTCATGAACCAACCGGTGTACAGGACCCAATAAATCGTCGTGCCAGCGAGTACATTTTCGACAAAGCGTTAATTAAGTATTTTCGGTGTCTTACTTATGTTAACCCTTAATTCTAAGTTACTTTTAACTGTAATTTTTTGTACCAAAAATAAATTATTCAATATTTTAAACTTATGTACAACTCATTAAGCTTCTACTATGTAAGTTTACTACCATTTTACATAAAAAGTATGGTGGTGCATACAACAAAACTCGTAGTTGTTGCTCAAACACCAACCAAAAATATTTTTGGGGGCAACTTAAATTTTTGGTTACAGTAACAAAATGCTAAATTTTGTTTCAGCAACTAAAAATATTATATGGCAAAAATTGTATGCAATAATGTATCGCTATTGCTGTAAAAAAGTGACTACTTGTTACTATAATCATTTTCCATGCTTGATTAAGAACTACATATTATAATCGCTGTTTTCGACCAAAATGGGGCTTTACGGCAGGTCTCAAAATTTTCTGCTTCCAAGAGAAGTTTATGAAATCCGATTTGCATATTGCTGAAAATGGCAAATATATCTCAGTAATCAAGCAAATGTGTGGTCAAGAGGGGTCTACGCGTTTTCGCCCCCACGTCAACTCGAACGACAACTCGACACGAGACAATTCGCCCCCGGACAACTCGAATACGCGACATCTCGACTCGTCCAAAAAACAAAAATTAAGTAGATGTAAAAAAAATTTATAGTAATAGAATGTGTAAAAAAAGAGTAGCAACATAGTACAATATTAACTGAAACACGACATAAATATAATATAACTCAATCAATTTTTGCTCAGTAGTGGTACTCAATATACGACGTATAATATAATTGTCATATGTAAAATGTTAAATACCGATACACACGTAATACCGATCGCAAACAAAAATTAAATTTTTTCGAAGTCGAGATGTCGCCCGGTCGAGCTGTTAAGGGCGAGTAGTCGCACCGAGCGATCAAAGGTCGACTTGACGCGGAGGAGATGTGGCGCGCTTCCGGTCAAGAGACCAATAAAATTCTGTAGTATCTTTACTTATGATTAAACGCGTTATGCAGTGAAGCGCATGCAGTTTTATTCGTTTACACAGATTTAGGGAAAATAAAATATGCCTGAAATAATTACTTTTTAATAATTAGTTTCAAATAATTTGCTCCTTGAATCGAAATATTGAAATTCCGCGCAGTTTCAGTTATCGAAAACAATCACCGCTCATTCGTTCTGACGTTTCGCTCAGATTTACGACCATATTTTATATACAGAACAATTTTTCCATTTTTTTTTAAATTACCTATGTTTTCAAACGGCCCATGGGAAAGAAAAAAAACTCCCTCCACAAATCCAACATGTTCTTTTATGTTGAATTTTACTTTAATTGTTATCGTTATAAATAAGGCTTGGAAAAACAAATTGACGCCTTCCACCATTAAAGGGTGTTTTATGAGAGCTCAAAAAGTTCCAACTTCTAATTGAAATATCTCCAGATTTACCTTAATTATCGACAAAAGTAAACATACCATAATAACTAGCATTGTTTCATTCTTATGAAAAATTTCTTTGCTTAAATTTAGTGCATGGCAGCCTCTGTAAGGTGACAGTAACGGCGTGGCTCGACGTATAGATTCGTGATACAAAGTCCCAGAGTACGTGTAATTAGTGGCCGATTCCAATGAACACCTGCCACTGGGGGCTTGTTTTCGCAGCGTAGGCCTGCAGTATAGTATTTTTCATAACCAGTGGCCCGAAACCAGGGGGTGTAAAAAGAATTGTTTCATCTACGAAGTGCTGCGTCGCCTTATGTACCTGCTGCCTTTATGTATAGTATAGTATACACAGTATGTACAACGATTCGACTTTCTGACAATTCTGCAATAGCGAGAAAACGCAAATACAGCGAAGTAGAAGGATTCGTCGATGCTCTTCAACGACTGATCTTTACTTCGCTGTATTAAAGTTTTTTGCTATTGCTGTTCAGTCGATAGTGGAGTACGAGTAGGGCAGTGTGTTCAATCCCTATTGAGAAGGGGGAATTATTTTTAATAAATTTTTTGAAACCTTATGTTCCTTCCACACTGATACAGAAGCAAGAGGACTATGCCCAAAAATAAGGTAGTCTAACCGACTTTTGAAGACAAGTTGACTATTTATTTTCCTTTAGCACATACATATTAAATGCAACCAGTTAAGAGTTCAAGGAGTTTTAACGACCCCGTTGACTACTTTATTTTTATACACCACAAAAGTAAACCAATTAGCATGAGTATAATTTTTTATAAAAGATATTACGCGTTGTTTCAATTTTTGTAATAAAATCATTTAATTTACATGAAAAACCATGGTTTATGCCCTAATGTTTATATATGTGACTTATGCGTGTATGTGCTAAGTCATGAGACTACCGATATATTAGCAATAATTCCTAATTTTTTCTCGAATGCAAAAAACGAATCGCAAACTGTAGTTATCGAAATTCAAGTAGTGTCACTTACATTAATAATGAATACTAGTAATCGTCACCTCAATGTGCTATGATTCTAGACAATTAAATTTTCATATCTTAGTCTGATGAAGCGAATTAATATATTTAGGTTGGCCGTTGACTTCGCTATCGTCTATACACTTGTACCAGCTGTCATATTAGCTAATTGATAAAAAGAGACTCAAGCGCACTTCTAATTTATTTAAATCATACCGTTATCTAAATTAAATTTTTTCCGATCATCGATCATCACTCCAAAACCAATCGAATGGATGGCATAATTCGCTTATACGATTCGCATATAAATGCAAGACACCGAGGCTCAATTTGAGTCACGAACAGTTCGTCAGCCAACACTCGAGTAACAATTTTTTTACAACAAGTGAATAAGTGATAAAAAAAAATGTTGTTCAAGATTCTGACTTGTGCCCTGGCACTCGTGCTCGTTATAAGCGATTCGGCGAGCGCCGTGTGCTACCTACAAGACATTGAGGATCCAACTGGGTCAACTTATCGCATGATTCCGTCGTACATGACCCTACGGCAATTGGCGGATGCTCAACCCCGTCCACAGACCGAGTCACCACCGAAGCCGACCGGTCCTATACTGCGGCCCCTGCAAGTGTTACACAAGGATGTGATGAAAGATACGGAGAGTATACGATACGTTTGCAGTCCACGAAAGAAATATGATGTTATGGAAGTAATACGGTGCGAAGGACATACTCACACCGAGTGCTTGTTCGAAGTAAGTTTTCTTTTTCAATTTTTCTCGAATCAAAAGCATTTCATCCTCTACAAACGAGAGTCGTTGATTATTTTTTAGGACTTTACTCCAGCGCCGGATTGCGGCCGCGTAATAACCATTGGCCTGAACAGTACAGAAAAGAAAGGCATCGTCGACTTGCACAACGAGTTGAGAATGAAGGTGGCTCGTGGAGAGGAGCTCAGAGGTGCACCCGGACCACAGCCCGCCGCCATCGATATGGAGATAATGGAGTGGGACGACGAGCTAGCTCAGACCGCCCAAAAGTGGGCCAGTCAGTGCCGAATAGGAGTACACGACGAATGCCGATCATTACGTAAGTATATCAGCGTGTCTCGTGCTTCGTCGATCTATTCATTTGTATAATGATCGCAATCGTCGTATCATTTGTCTTTTTGAATATTTAGCAAAGTTTGGTGAGTTCGCCGGCCAGAATATAGCTGGCCACCGATGTAAGCTTGAAGAGCGCCCCGCGGAGGCATACCCGGTAGAATTGGCAAGAATATGGTACGAAGAAGTCAGATATTACAATGGAAGCAACGTTCATAGACACACGTAAGTTTTTCTTTTTTTTATATCATATATATATTTCGATATTAAAAAATATATCATTGTTGCTGCTACCTGCTCGGGAAAGCTAGCTTTATATTTTTCTTTGGTTTTTTAAAATGTTCTTCCGTGTTTTCAATGTTTTTTGTGTTCTTTTGTTTCTTCATCATTAATATATTAAATATATTAAATTAAATGAATCAAATAGACAAATAAATTTTAGAAATTGAACAAATAATTAGTTTAATAAAAAAATGCCTTCAATGATAATTTTTGGGAGAAAACTTGATTAACCATGAAGAGGAAACTATGCTAAAGTAAACCTCTACCTCCTGGGTAATATGGAAAAGTTTGGACATTTTTTGTGTTGAAATCATGCAAAAACGAAAAAAATCATGTCAAAATTACTCTCGGATCTCACTTTTTGCTTTCAGTATTACTTCATAATGCACATCTTGAGACTTCAAATAATATTTTGTTCGTAATTATTAACTTTATAATAACAAAACTATAAAAATTTTGTTCCATTCATTTTTTAAACTTACTTTTAAGGAATTATATAATTTGTTCCGTTTTTTTGGATATTGGTATTTTTAAAATTATTATATTTACACATTTATCCGTTGAGAGAGACGAGGTGGTAGCAACCGGAGCAGGGAGGGGGGTTCAAGTTTTAGCCCCCTAAAGGAATATCTCTTTTGTTATGTAGACAAGTATAAATAATTTATTGTAAATTACAGGACAGACGTTAGTGAAGATCATAAGGCCATCGGACATTATACACAGTTCGTCTGGGCACAGAGTAATCGCATCGGTTGCGGCTGGATTTATTATTACCAAGATGATTTGTACCAATCAAACCTGGTCTGTAACTACGGGCCAGGTGGTAATATTATGGGTTACCCCGTATACAAGACCGCGAGTACGAGACCCAGTATATCAATAAATCGCCAAAGGGGAAAATTTTGACCAAAGGATTATGAATTTTCCAAATTATTCCAGGGCCCTGCCAGCCCGATAATGGCACTTAATTCTAGGATTAACATAGTAGGATGTGTGTATATATATTCAACTTAAATTTCCATAAGAGCGTAAATAAATTACTTGATTTTTTAAACCTACACATTTCTTTGGAGTTACTTTTACTCAATTTCGCAATTCCTTCATATATAATTCACCTCGCGATTTTTCTGTTTCAATAGAAATTACTGAAATTGGATTCACATATTGTTTGAACATATTTATTTTATCATCGAGTTTAACATCGAGTTGCTTAACGATACTATTTTAGAAAAGATGTTCAAATTTCGAAACTTTAATACCGTATCTCCATGCCGCCATGTACAAGCGGAAGTATATGATAGGCGTCAAAGTGACCCCTACCTACCTCTGACACTAGCCGATTACTATATATTCTAATAGTACTGAGTAATCGTATATAATACTATTATTGAAAAATTTTTCGGAGCAAACTAGTATATTGAGAATTGGTAGCCAAAATTGATGAACCATCGTAGTGTTAGATTTTTTTTTCATTTTTTCGAAAATTTTTCTAAAAATCTTTTCAGAAGATCGCTTCATAAAACTTGAATATTCTTCAAGGTAAAAGAATAACTGATTGATATTTGGTCAGATGCAGACGAAGATTATACTCTAAATCCGGTAGGCTCTTGTGAAGTTAAAAACGTTATAACATTCACTTTTTATAAATCATCAGTGATGATTTTAATCGTATTCCAATACTAAAAATTATTGCCCAATTTTAAGTTTAAATCACATGAACGAGGCTATTGCATTACATGAAAAGTTAGATGAAACAATATTCTTAGGTTATCAGTGTCAAGATGTAAAACCTCATCTGACGTTTCTATCGACAAGCAAGCGCACTTAGATAGATAATAAATATTTTGCTTGCCTATAGAATTATAAAACAAAAATATGAAATAGAGACATTTTGACCGTCTATACAGAGAAACTTTGAACACATCAAAGTAAAGAAAAAAAAGCTCGAGTTTGCGGTTTATGCAGCTATACATATTTTCTAAATAAAGATTTTATTCTGACAAAGAACACTCGCTGTACAATTTCATTTCATTTTTATTGTTTGGAACAGGTAGTGAAAATTATTAATCGTGGAAGCTATAAGTGACACTATTGTCGATACTACAGGTTTTGAATCTCTAACATATTATGTTTATACGTTTATTGCGAATTAAAATTTTTTAGAAAATTTCAGGAAATGGATCTTAATTAAAATTTTTAGGAAATTAAAATTATCAGAAAATGGATCCTATGGAAGCTGCGGTAGAAGAAGTTGACGCTGAATTTTATCAAGGGAATAAAATACTTTATCAATTATGCTTTATTTGGCCGTATACCAGACGATCATTTCAATATTGTGGACGGATCATATACATTGTCAATTTTTCGTACACAATTTACGTTACGGTAGTATAAGCTTTTAATTGATAAAAATTTTATTCGAACGAAAAAGCCTTTTCATGTTCAAAAATCGCTGTCGACAGTTTTTAACTACGTATGGAAAAGCTTTCGTAACACCTATTAATTGGGAATTGGCCATGCAGAATGTATTCGAATTGGCCTTTATTTCCGTGATATTTCTCATGTACATTCAATTTATTCTTATGGATAAAGAGGTATTGTTTTGGTTATATTATCATGGATAACGCGAGATTACATTTTATTTTCATGAATGTTTTTATTGAGATCAAAGATTTGCTAGAAAAAGCAGTTTTATATCAAAACAGTATAACCAATCCTGAAGAAAGAGAACTTTTATACACAATGAGTAGAGCTCATTCTCCAATAATTTCAGCAATAAAAGGTACTTTTCAAAACAATTTAAACCCACAAGTAAACTACATGACAAAATTGATACAATCATAATAACTCAAGAATAAGTTGAGGAGTATGTAAGAATTTAGCTATCATTTTGAGATTTGTTAAAAATTTGTATTACATCTAGAACCCCATAAGATAATCGTAATTACTTTTTAACAAATTCTATTGGGCCCTATTAAATTAATATAAACAATTTGACGATTAGTCACCTGAAAATTTTCAGATTTCATACGGTATCTTTTTTACTACTTATTGTGAAGAGTAAAGTTCTTATTTTTGATTTTTAGTTTTCGTATTCGGTTCTTTTTGGAGTTTTTGGATGCTCCCTGCATTGATCCCATCTATCCTAAATGTTGTTTTATCTGGAGATCATAACTACACAAAAAAATTGTGTACCACTGCAGAGCTGACATTTCTTGATCCTGACAAATATTTTTATTTTTGGTTTATGTATACATTTATTGTTTTGACAATGGCTGCAATAGTTGGATCTTCATTGTGCATAGCTTCGACATGCTTTATCTCAGTTAATCTTAAAAGATTTAGTTTACTGACGTAAGTATAGCAGTCATGCACACCAAGAAAAAATTATAAAAAAAAAATTTTGCCAGAGAGATATTTTTAGTGCATTTAAAATTTTTAAAACGTGTTTAGAATAAAAGCTAACCGATGAATGTATTAGCTGTCCAAAACCATTAGTCGTTTCGAACATTTTTACATTACATGACAGTTTATAATTTAATATAACTTTTACTTTTATTCTTAGTTATTTTTATAAATTTTTAAATTTTGTTAGTTTTTAGTCGTATTTTAATTAATCCTTGATAGCTCCAATAATTTTTACGAAATAGTAATGATTACGAAAATCCAAAACACGGATAGTCTTTATCGGGAAAATTTCAAGCTTGTGATACAAATAATAAAAATATAAAGCATTGGAAAATTTTTTTTGACAGATCTCTTTTTAGTTTGCTACCACTACCAGATTTTGTTACCAGTTTGAACAGTTTGTAAAATTACTTTAGTTTCAGATTTTCTAAACTCAACAAGCTCGTTCAGAACGAACAGTTCGTTTTTGATGAGCCCTTAGGTGAATATATTCACAACGAAATTGTTTACCTACACTGCCAGCATAAGGAAACAATTGAGTTACGTGACTAATATAACGATTATTGTTTTTAAAATTGAGCAAGTTAACTAGAATAAACTAATTCGAAAAAATTCAGATTTACAGAAAAACTGGATGAAATTGGACGCAAAGTTTTGATTATTTTATCTGCTTACATATTATTAGGATTAAGTTCTACTGGTTGTATGGTAATATTTTCGAAATTATGACAAGATTTTGCCTTTACGATTATGTTTATTTCCAGATTTTGTATGCCAAGAAAATTAATAATTTATTTTTACTCATTGAAATGGTAGTGTCATTTGAGTGCGTATTATTTTTTGCTTTTCTCTTCGGTCATTTTGGTCAAATTTTAAGCGATGCCAGTACTGAAGTTTTTTACGAGTGGTAAGAATAATAATTATTGTAATTTCATAGTTAATGTTTGAAAAAGAGAAGAATTATTGATGACAGAAAAGATTTCAAAGTTATTTCAGTGGATGGTACAATTTTCCTTTGAAAACACGACCATATATTTTATTAATAATGCAGCGAGCATCATATCCATTCGAGTTAGCAGCAGGTCCATTAGCAATTTTAAAACTTAATTATGAAAATTTCACAGCAGTGAGTATAAAAAAGTTTCCTATCTACGTTAAATTAATTGATAAACCAGTTATTGTTCAGTCAATTTGCAGATAGTTCACACTGCAGTTTCGTACATGACTGTAATGGCTTCACTTATATAATTTCGACAACGAAAAGTTTCTATTGACCAATGTCGATTTTTTGCCATTTAATATTTTTACATTAAAAATTTAATTCGTCAATGAATAACTTACAATTATAAATCTCAAAAATTCTATGCTAACCAAGCGTTTAAATATACTTATAATAATATTTTATAAAGTTTCCTAAATTATTCGGAGTTTTTATTATTTTTTACATTTAATAATTATTAATAATAATCATTAATATTTCTAAACTTAATTTACGACAATTTTACTTTTATTTTCAATTTTTAATAAATGATGAATCTTTACCAAATCTTGTGAATAATAATGAGGAAATAAACTATTCAGCTAGACTTTAAGGTCAGTAGAATGGTTACAAAAATAAAAGAGGTAAAAAGTTAGCGTTATTGTGGATTGGATTATAACATATTAAAAATAATCATAAAAAAAGTACGTCGTTCTTTTATTTTGAACGTAAGTTCCAAAAATCATTCGTCATTGAAGCAATCGAAGAGATTATTATTGTGTATTTTAAAGTAAATTTAAAATATCTTTATACTAAATTAATACTTACAAAATGGGTGCTACATCAAAAACTCAATTTTTAGCTCTTCAAAAATCACCCTCATGGTAGAAGCTAATATCCATAACATTGTGGAGAAAAATTTATATAAACTTATAAGCTTTACTCGTGGCCAGTCACGTTACAGTGTCAAAAAAGGATATTTTCGATAAATTTTCTGGATTCACTCCGTCTTATCTAACTGTCAGAAAAGTATTGAGTTATAATCTTGAAAATAAAAAGCTGACAATATGCAGATCGATGCGACTCATTTCGGCATCGCTCGGGCACATGAAATTTAGATAACGAAGACAATCGAAAATATGGTGTGTTCGATTCTCTTTATCAATTAGCTAACGTGATAACCATTAAAAACGATTGTTTAGTTACTATTTACTCGAAAATGGCGATTATCAAACAAATATTATAACCGAAGAAAATTTTATAAATTCGAGCGCTAGAATTTTAGAAAGGACAATTTCGATTAAAGAGATTTCGGGTGCAGATATGGATAAAAATTAATCACGTACAAAAGATTTTTATTAAAATGTAACGCAATAATCAAAATAACAAAAAAAATTATAATTGGTATTTGTCACATTTTTATTTACATTTTTTACAGTTGAACTGGAGTCAAATATCAATTGAATATTGTGCATTTACGGGACACAATCGGTTGAATGATGGATTGTAAAAGTTCGTACATCAATTAGTTGGTGAAAATAATTCAACGCCCTATTGTTTCGATTGTATTCTTTATCTTAAAGTAATAAGCTGTGATCCTCATGCGAAGAACAATCGGATCAATGGCAATATTCGACCCATCAATTTGTGTATAAATTCGGGCACTGCAGCTCGATCGAATCATAAACAGCTCGGCAAAGTGAACAAAAATGTTGTTAAAAATTCTGGCCTGTGCTCTGGCACTCGTGCTCGTCAGCGATTTGACGAGTGCCCAATGGAGGTGGGGGCCGGTACAGCCCCAGGTGCAGCGGAAGTGGATCCTAGATCCCAACCGATGCATGGCTTCGAACAGTCCGTTCAGGGTAAGATTTCCATCGACGATTTATTCTTTCTCAGAGTACATTTTTTCTTACAATCGCATTTGTTAAACGATGATTTTCTTTTCAGAACAACTACAGTCCAACGCAGCGTTGCGGTCGCACTGTCTATGATGGCTTGACCGCTGAAGAAAAGACAGCCATCGTCGACGAGCACAACCGTCTGAGAATGAAGGTCGCTCGCGGAGCGGAGCCCAGAGGAGCACCCGGACCACAGCCCAAACCTGTCCGTATGGAAACGCTAGTCTGGGACAATAAATTGGCCGAGGCTGCCCAAAAATTGGCTTACCAGTGCGAAATGAAACACGACAAGTGCAGACACTATCGTAAGTATCAGTGTTTCTCGTTTTGCACCGCGTAAGTCTTACTTAGTTGACCATTTTTCAATCATGTTTGAAATTTTCAGCGGAAGAATCCGTAGGCCAAAATCTGGCTAGTAGAAAGCGTAGTGACCCGCAACAAATCAAAGGCCTTTCAGTAGTCAAAGAAATGGTAAACGGATGGTACGAAGAAGTCAAATATTACAACAGAAACAGTGTTAAAAACTTCAGGTAAGTTTTTTCTTTTTTTTCATATCGATATACTTTAAAATGTGAATGTATCTTTCATAAACAATTAATTGTCTATTGTAGCTCTCTTTACGGTGCGGGTGGTCAGCAAACCGGACATTACACTCAGCTCGTTTGGGCTGAGACCAATCGCGTCGGTTGTGGCGCCATGAAATATTTCCAAGGTGGCTATTACAAAATGTTATTGGTCTGTAACTATGCCCCCGCTGGTAATGTGCAAGGTATGCCCGTCTACAGGACGCTCTAAGACAGCCAACTGACAAACATCTCGTCGACGCCGGAATCAATGATTTCGACAAAAGCCTTCAGTATCCGCTTTTTGATAAAACTTAACTTTAAGTTATTCGTTACTGTTATACTTTTTTTTAATGAATGAAAAATAAATAATTTGATTCTCTAAACTCATACCTAATGGAGATTCTTTCGATGCGAATTCATAAATATACTCGCTTTCGAGTAAGATTAAACACCCAATCGTGGGACACTTATCGGGACAGATACTTCAATTTGGTCATTTTTTATAGTAAAAATTAATTTCATGTATGCATAGAGGTTTCAAGAATGCGACTGAGTATTTTTCAATATTAGTAGTAAGATGGAAAAAGTATAATGTATTTCAAATAATGAAAATTAATTTTTTTTTATTGACGCTCGGTTGAGGCTGTCGATATTTGGAAAACTCCGAAAAGTAAAATCAAAACTGTAAAATAAGATAATGGATTGATAAAAGTACTTAGTAAAAAGAATTAATCTTTTGTGAAAAGTAATAAATACAAGTAGTAAATACTTAACATGCAAAAATGGGTTTTAAAATGAAATACCCACCACCATACTTAAAAATACAAAGTTCAAGTAAAATAAAATCATACTGACACAACTTTTATTCAAATAGTAAGAAAAATCGTACTTGAACGTCTGCAGAAGTTTCTACTTACAATTGACAAAAAAAGTTAGCACTTTTCATTATTTTACTAATGAGATACATGCTATTCTCTGAGGAATTATTTCAAGTATATGACTACAATGAATTAGATACAATCTTATAAGCAATGAATTATTCATAAAATTATCTGACGTAAATTTTGATGCAATTCCGCATATTTTTGATTATGAGAAAAAAACGCTTCAAAGACTTAAAAAATTAATAGTAAATTATTACAAACAAAAAGTATTATCATACTAAACATTATTATTAGACAATTAGGTGATCTAATTATGGAAAATATAAATTGGCTCCAAAAAAAATTTTGGAACTTGATCCAAAACATTTTAAGAGTCAATATATTCTAGAACATATTTCCGGTATTTATATTTACCATTGTAACAAATCTTACATTTTTCATTGAGTTTAAAACTGAATGTCATGGATTGCTATTTGATGTTTAATCAAATTACTTTGATTCTCAAATTTTTGTTCACATTTTTCGCATGTGTAATCTTTCTGACCTTCATGAACGGCCTGTTGGTGTCTGAGCAATTGATGTTTATGCCCAAATTTTTTCTCACACTTGTCGCATGGGTAATCTTTGCGACCTTCGTGTACTGTCTTTTTGTGTCTGAGCAAATGCGATTTTCGTCCAAATTTCTTATCAAATTGGTCACATGCGAAATCTTTACGACCTTCATGGACTATCTTTTGGTGCTTATTCAAATTTTTTTTCTCTCCAAATTTCTGATCACACTTGTCGCATATCAAACCTTTACAACCTTCGTGGACCCTTTTTTGATGGAATAGGAAATAAGACTTTATTCTAAATTTCTCCTCGCACTTATCGCATGCAAAATCTTTACCGCCTTCATGCACTGTATTTCGATGCCTGAGCAAATGATGTTTATGTCCAAATTTCTTTCCGCATTTGTCGCATACGTGATCTTTGCGACCTTCATGGACTGACTTTTCGTGTCTAATCAATTTCGTTTTTTCTGAGAATTTTTTCTCGCACGTGTCACATGCGTAATATTTATGACGTAGGTGAACAATTTTTAGATGTTTCCTCAAATTGCTTTGATTTACGAATTTCTTCTCGCATTTGTCGCATCCATAATTTTTGCGACCTTCGTGGACTGTTTTTAGATGATTCAACAAATCTGCTTTTCTTCCAAATTTCTTATCACATTGGTCACATGCGAAATCTTTGCGACCTTCGTGTACTGACTTTTGGTGGATAAGCAAACTGAATTTTCGTCCAAATTTCTTCTCACACTTGTCGCATGCAAAATCTTTGCGACCCTCGTGGATTATCTTTAGGTGGGTGAGCAAATGGGATTTGTGTCCAAATTTTTTTTCGCACTTGTCACATTCGAATTCTTTGCGACCTAAGTGGACTGTTTTTATGTGCAAGAGCAAATTAGATTTATGTCCGAATTTTAACTCGCACTTGTCGCATGAATAATCTTTGCAACCATCGTGTATTGTTTTTATGCGTGTACGAGCAACCTCGATTTTTTTCTGAATTGCTTCCCACAATGGTCACACGAGTGATCGTTAAAGACCGTCTTAATATTGAAAAGCAAATCTTTGCAACCCTCATGGACTCTCTTAATGTGCATGAGCAAACTATGTTTATTTCCCAATCTCTTGGCGCACTTTTCACATAAGTAATCTTTGAAAACGTCGTGGAATATTTTTTTATGTTTGAGTAAAGTTGATTTATTTTCAAATTTCCTCTCACACTTGTCGCAAGTTAAATTTTTGCGATCTTTGTGTACTAATTTTTCGTGCGTGAACAAACTCGATTTCTTAACAAATTTCTTCTTACACTGATTACATGCAAAATCTGTGCGGCTTTTGTGTTCTGATATTTGGTGTCTACTCAAATGACTTCGGAACTCAAATTTCTTCTCGCACTTATCGCAAGAGTAATCTTTTCGGTCCTTATGAATTGTGTCTCTGAGGGTTATCATGCTCGATTCTAGAGTAAATGCTGCTTGGCAAATATCACTAACGTATTGTTTGTCATCTGAAATAATAATGTCATGTTCGCTTGAATTATTTCCCGAGATAAATTCCTCGGATTTCTTCTCACTTTTATTCATTAGGGTGTCTAAATTAAGCTACGGAACTTTCTATTTTGTGACACAACAATTTTTATAATTAAAATTTATCTTTTGCTAGTATAGCTTATATCGTCGTGTAAGGCGACAAACAAACTAATTTATTTTTACCATAAACAGGATCAGTATTTGAGGGACCATGTCAATATCGTTTATGATGGTTGTTTACACCGATCTATCTGCTAATACTTTGCCCTGATAATATTTGAATTAGTTTAAATTCTATCTTGATGACGACTTCTTCGAGGATTCTTTTTAGCCTTCTAAAACTAAACATACTTCAAAAAACGTACCGTTATGTCGAATCCATAGATCTAGAGCAGTATTTAATGATATATTTGATAAGCTTCTTTCTCAAATTTTCAATTTTGTTTTTAAATTTCAAAAATTCTTTAATTTCGCTGAGATAGAGCTACTGATCCCTAATTTTTCAAACATTATCCCAGAAAAGTTTATTTAATTGGGGGTAAGCTAAGAAATATTAAAAAGAAAATATTAATTTTTGAATGTTATTAAAATGTAAAATCGGAATGCTCAAAATGGACGTGTTATTCTTTTTTTAAATCCGCAGGATTAGCATTTAGAATATAATGAAAAAATTATAATTAAAAAAAAAAAAAACCAAAACAACAAATCAATATCGATCGAGAGCGGTGCTTTTTCGGAAACAATCGGTTAAATGATCGATTGTAAAAGTTCGTTCGTCAATTAGTTGGTGAAAATAATTCAACGCCCTATTGTCTCGATTGTATTCTTTATCTGAAAGTAATAAGCTGTGATCCTTATGTAAACAACAATCGGATCAATAGCAATATTCGACCCATCGATTTGTATATAAATTCGGGCACTGCAGCTCGATCGAATCATAAACAGCTCGGCAAAGTGAACAAAAATGTTGCTAAAACTTCTGGCCTGTGCTCTAGCACTCGTGCTCGTCAGCGATTTGACGAGTGCCCAATGGAGGGGGCGCCAAGTACAGCTCCAAGAATATCATGATGTCTGCATGGCTTCGAACAGTCCGTTCAGGGTAAGATTTCCATAAACGATTTAATCTTCTATGAAATAGATTTTTCTATACCCTTTCTTATGTAGACAATGACCGCTGACTTTTTTTCAGTTTTACAACTCGCCAGTAGCGGCGTGCGGCCAAGTAATAGCCGCCACTCTGTCGAATAAAGAAAAGAGAGCTATCGTCGACTTGCATAACAATTGAGATTGAAGGTCGCCAATGGACAGGAGGCAGGACAGCCCGCCGCCACCAACATGAAGATGCTGAAGTGGGATGACAAGCTGGCTCGGACTGCCCAAAATTTAGCTAACGCTTGCATCTTCCAACACGACAGCTGCCGACACTATCGTAAGTATCAGAGTGTCTCGTTTTACACCACGTAAATCTTACCTCATCGTAACAACTTCAAATTTCTAGCGGATCTCCTCGTTGGCCAGAATATGGGTTGGAAATGGATCAACGGAAAGATCAATAAAGATAAACTGTTAACACTGTTAGGCGGAAAAATCGAAGAATCTATAAACGATTGGTACAACGAAGTCCGGAATTTCAATCCTGCTAACGTCATAAGTTACCAAAAGAATCCGGCAGTTGGTCATTACACGCAGCTCGTTTGGGCCGAGACCAATCGCATTGGTTGCGGTGCCGTGAAGTACTCCCAAGGTGTTAAGCACAACTTAATGCTGGTCTGTAACTACGCACCATCTGGTAATATTGGAGGTATGCCCGTTTACAAAACAAGTAATTGAATCAAAGAATCAACCAACGTTGACGAAATAACGGGATCGAGGATTTTTACGAAGACCGCCAGAGCCCACGCACTTCTCGATGAGACTTAATTTTAAAATATTTTTTACTCTTAATTTTTAATGATAAGTGATAAATAGATTTCTTGATTTTTTAAACTCATAACTCATTGAAATTCTTTACGTGTAAATTTACAAATGCCCGATATCACATAAGATAAAACAGACACTTTGATAGTTGTTTAATAGAAATAATAAATGGCCATTGCAAATGAAATTTTTTTATTGCTGTGGGCTCGCTTCTCGATAAGACTAGATTTCAAGATATTATGTACCGTTATTAATGTAAAAAATAAATTATTTGAATCTGTAAACTCGTATAATATACCTCATTGAAATGTTTTCAATTCCAAGTATATCCAAGCATCCGATTTCACATGATCCAGTATACTTTTTTACGCGACAAAAGTCAAATAACACAGCCATTGACGGCTTGGGAAAACTATCAGCGCGTATAATGTACGAAATCGTTCCGTCGCGCGTGCGGAGCGTGGGATCTACTTACGCGATCCTGTGCAGCTTTACACTGCCACGAACGAAACTGTCGAATGCGCTTGACCGCATGTAGAATCGTGCGGAGTGAGAAGAAAATTTGGGAAATCTGTTCATGTTTAATAGTGGCGCCTGACATCTCGCACTCGTTTCCTTTCTTTCTTTGTTTACTTATGCATTTTTTTATTACTACTCTGAAGGACTCGGGAGGCCCTAGACAGTATCCGCTCGTTCCCTTCGAAAAATCATTGACTCGCAGCGAGCGCAGGTACACACACACACACACGCAGGCCCTCTGAATGTGCCCACTGGCCATAAAAAATACAATATTATACCCTCGCATTAACTGCTACTTACAAGCGAGGCAATCGTTCATAGGCAGTCGCGCCGTCGTGTGTGGGTATATGCTATATATGTACACGAGTGCACGAAGGTATACACGTATCCCTTTCCAAAATCCCGGGCGACATTGTATTTATTATTGTGCGAGAAAATAGGACGGAGTCGGGCATAATCGGATGATACACTTGAGCTATCTTTTTTCAATGTTCGCGAGTGAGCATAATTGGGTATATATGTATTCAGAGAGTAGAGAGAGTAGAGAGAGAGAAAGCCACCCTTGAGAAGCTAAATACGCCCTCATTGGTCGCGCCCGTACGTGTGCGTACGCTCGGTCGACATAAATTATATTATTTTTCATGCCCTCTTCGATGTAGGTATGGCAGTATATTATATCTATTACTCCGCAAACGCAAACTCGTGAACGAGTATTTCTCTCTTTTCTTTTGGGTCGGTGATATTCTGGCTGTTAGGGTACGTTCTTCGGCAAAATTATAGACTCGAGATTAAAAAATGCATTCTGCTCCCGATTTAATTTTAATGACAGATTAATAAAATATTTTTTGCTAATCACTCCAAGAAAAGTCTGTGATGTTTTTTGATTCGTCGCAAAATTAAAAACGTAATTAGTAATAACGAAAATTTCAGTACACATATTGATAGCTGAAACGAAACTAAATTATCAAAGTTGCAGCTCCCAACAATAATATTTCGGATATCATAAAAAAACGTAAAAATTAAAGATATTCCATTCTCAATAGAGCTTTGATAAAGTCGATCGAAGTACACTGAGAAAAAAAATTCATTGATTCAATGAAACGTTTAATTGAATACAATCTATGAAATAATTTCATTGAAATAATCTTTTTTTATTTCATCCAGCAAAATATTTAATTGTTTTCATGAAACTTTGGTAAAAACAATTAAATATTTTGTTGAATGAATGAATTATTTCATAGATTGTATTTAATTAAACGTTTCATTGAATCAATGAATTTTTTTTCTTAGTGTATATGGTCTCATGAGAAAATCGAATCTTCCTTCGATCTCGCGCGTGCATGCACATGCGTTGATGCGCGTGTCACACACTCGGACCTATATTATATTGTTACGCGGCGGTGCGGTGTCTCTCATCGATACACATTTATACACATTCTTTCGCATTGCGCGTAAACGCTCTCTCTCTTACTCTCTCTCATTCACTAAGATTTCGGCCACAAAAGTGCCAAAATTTATAGGCCTCGGTACAATGTGTATCGGTATATTTTGTACACTTTATGTTTGGTATATGTAGGCGATCGTGCACTTTTTCGTGTGTGTATATGACCTCGAGAGAGAGAAAGAGCTCACACGGGACGTTTTTTAAATGTTTTTTGAAGAAAAAAAATCAAAACAAGGTCAAAATTGTTCGAGTGTAATGTTCGATTGTTCGTTTATCAGAAACAGTTAATTTCTTTCAATATAAAATCATTACGAAACTTTCGCGCGATCAAGTGTTAATAAACAAACAATTCTTCCGATGGCACCATCTGTATATGATATTCAATGTGTGGACGTTGTTCAATTTAACGAAAACAAAAACTCGATTACAACCGAGTCACACGGACTAGCAGCGATGATTCTTGGAGTTTTCGTGCATTCCAGATTTTAATACGTTTTCCCCGAAGAACTTTTTCTTTGGGCCTCGAGATCGACGACGATTTTCTTCGTCTCTCGCTGCAACGCAAATTCCAAACTCACTTTATATCTGAGTGTAGGAAAAAATATCGTATACGTGAAGCCGACGTGGCGCAGGTACTACTACAATGGGGACTGTGAGTGATGTGCGCGCATTATACGTACAAGAAGGTGCTGACGGCCGTGCTAAATCGTTTCCATTATTTTGACGGGGCGGGATGTATACATACACTTTGCATGATCGCCGCCGACGCACTGTTATGTTGTGTGCGACTTTGAAAAGGAAATATTTTCTGCCTCGAAGCAAGTTGCCGGCGCGTACACGTTATAATGCAAGGATCATCATTTTTGTGTACACATCGCTCTTTGCGCGCCGATCGAAATATTATTATTGCTGATTCACCCCGTTTTTGTAATTCATTTCTCGTTTGGATCGCGAGTACTTTCTTTTTTTTTTTTTTTTTATTGAACTTTATACGCCAGTTTTTATTTCTTATCCTTTTTCCCCTTGTTCTTTCCCTTATCCTTGTCGCAAGCCAGCGTCGTCTTCTTCTTGTCCAAGTGATCCTGCCTCGTGCACGGGCTCTGCAGTATCTTCACGGGCTTTCCTCGGTTGCCCGGACCCGGGCTCGGGTCCGCCTGAGGCGTGTGCAGCTCCACCTCGAGATTCTGCTTCTTGGCCCTGGCGTCCTTGTCGTCGTTCCTCTTCTTCACGCGCAGCATGTAGACGTTCTCGTTGCACTCGGTTATGTGGTCGGTGTAGACCTCCTGCGAGATCGGACCGCCGAGCTGCGGATAGACCGTGACCTTGCGGCAGCGATCGTCCCCGTAGTCGCCCGATCTGTTGATCTGTTGGTCGGGGTGAGAGGTTATTCCAAGTTTTTGACCCTCTACGCTGTATTTTTTTACCTTATAAGCGACGGCTTGCGGTCGATAATGCGGATCGTCCTTCTTGTTCAGGTGTCCCCTCGAGTGCACCCTGAACAGTATCTGATTGTTGTCGCCGGCGTTGGTGATGCGCGGCCCCTTGTTACCACTGGGCCGCTTGATCTCGATCACGTCGCAGTCGCAGGGCGGCTCCCACGAGGCCTTCTTCAGCTTCGCCTTCTTGTTCTTGTCCTTCTCCATGCGTATGATCAGCTGATTGCCGACCATCTCGGCACCGACCTCGTGGTAGTACTTGCCCGCCGAGGGATCCTCGTTTTTCGGCTTACTCGGTGCGGGACAGCAGCCATCCTTGCCTTGGGAAGAAACTAAATTTTTATTTTAGTAAACACGGTTACGAGATCGTGATGAACGAGGGGATGAGGATGTTTACTGAGTATCGGAGTGCACATCGTTGCGAAAATTTGGAATTTAGAAGTGGATTTTTTTGATTTGATACAATTTTTTTTTTAGTTTTTTAGTTTTATTGTCGGATGAGCCGTGAGAATTTTTTTTCGTTAACCAAACTTCATACCAAAACGAGCAGTGTCGCGTATCGACTGTCGAGTCGCCGACAACTTCAAGACGGTACACGCACTCAGACACAATGTTTAGACGATAGAAATCCAAGTTCAGGCCTCAAGCTCAAAATTAAAATTTTCGACAAAATATAAAAATAAAAAAATAAAATATTGTAAATAATCGAGTAAAAATACCGAAAAGATGATCGCCGCTGCTCGTAAATGCGGCTGCCCGGATTTAGACAACAAGCCCAGTCCTTGCGACGATTCCATTTTCAGCGGAGATAGCGGTAATGTATACACTTTCGTAAAAAGGTTATAATTAACAATAAGATAATGACAAAAAGAAAATGTAGATTGCCAAGATCTATCCAATGAAAAGGACGACTGCGGCTGCGACGGCGACGACGGCTGCTCCACCGACCAGCCCGAGTCCAAGGTCGTGTCCGAGATAGCCGACAAGGGTCTTCCCTACAAGGAGATCGAGACGCTGTTCAACAACAATCGCATGGTCATACGCATACAGTCGCTCAAGCCGCCCAAGGAGTTCGATCCACCCTGCGACTGCTCCGAAAACGAGGACAACGTCAGCAAAGCCGATTCCTTGGTTTCGATTTTTTGTCATTTTTCATGCGGAGCAGTAGTAGCATGACGCGCTTTCTTTCGTATTTTTTATGATATTTTTTTCTCATCGTATATCTGCAGAGTGGACGGCGCAGCGACGTCATTTTTCAAAAAGCCGAGGGCTGCCGAACGATCAATGTTTATCCGCAGCCGGGCCCAAAAAAGGAGCGCATCGATACGAGCAAGAAGTCCGCAGCGAAGAGTCCCATCGAGCTGCCGAGCGTCAATCTCGAGGAGAATCCCAATATCTTCGTGCTGAAGATCAAGCGCAAGGTCGACAACGGCGAGAAGAAGCAGAATCTCGATCTCGAGTATCGCAGCCCTCGGCCCTGGCGCAAGAAGGATTATTTCAAATGAACTTAAAAGCAAAAAACAAAACAAAAAAATAGCAATAGATGGAAAATAAGGTTTGAAAATTCAATAAATTTCTTTCAAAAAAACGTATTCACACCCACTCGAGTTTCAATCGTTGACTCGGCTGTCGCGCGCGCGCGAGCTCATTTCGCGGACCGTCGTAAAAAATCCCCCCGAAGAGGTCGTAAAATCGTCGGACAATGAAGTCTTATTCAATCGAGATTTTTTTTTTTTACTCCGCGTACTTTTTCATACACACGCACACAAAAAAAAGAGCTCAATTGCATCGCGCGGTCGTAAAAAAATTTTTATAGCCCGCGATTTGTTGACATATTGCGTTTTTTGGCTTTTCTTCCTTCTTCTCGGAGAAATCTTCTGGACCGCTTATCACATATATGCGAGTTGCAGCAGCCAACGTCTTGTAATTACAATACTCAGCCCTATGTATACACTCGATCCTCGGGACACAATGACGTATAATATAATGCACACACAATGATGACTCTTGGTCTCGACACAGAAGTCAAGCAGCAGCAGCAGCAGCAGCACACAGTCTCGCGCGCGTCTTTGCCTTTCTCACGATCGACGCGTGCACTCGTCTCGTACTACAGGTGAGAGACGTCTCTCGGACTTTTGATCGGATACAAAAGGGAAAGATCTTACCCGCCTACATATATGCCCTCTACCCCGACAATGAGTCTCGTTGATTTTTCTTCTCTGCCTCTGCTTCTCGCTCTTATTCTGCAAGGTGCACAATAAGTGTGAAAAATCTACTTCTTTGCTTGTGCGAACGACTACCAGATCGCTCTAGATTTCGTATCGCTTCTACTCGACGATTAGTCGAGTGAACTTTTTTCCATTAGAGCATCGAGATCCAGATAGCAAATATTGGATGCCCCCATAAATCTGATCCTGACGCGGCGACGGCGACGTCTCGCGGATGTGTGTGTAATATACACGAACCTATCGTGAGAGATTGAATTAACTTTGCTTAGCTTTGGGAGCGGATCACAGGTGGATATACGTATGTACATACACGCGTTTATACTTACTTACTTACTTACTTACGCGCGCCTGTGTACATTTCACTGGCTGGTACGTATACGCATGTAGACGGCTTGTGCACGGATGGTTTGATCGGATTAATTTTTATAGGGTACACCGAGGAGGACTTTTTCTTCTTCTTCTTCCTTTTTGCCTTCCAAGATTTTCTTCGATATATAGACAGCGCGTCGTCTTTTCTTGTAATAAAGCCAAGCCAATATTATACGTGTAAGACGTGGGAAAAATTGACCCGGCGTGCACTATTTGAAAACAAACACGCGTATGCACGTGGGTAATGTAAAAATTTTTGACAATATCTGTATAAATTGGAGCGCATACCTTTGTTTTTTTTTTTCACTGATAGAGAACCATGGCACGCCCGAGTCTCGCTAATTCATCTCGTTAATAACATCGTTTAGTCGTCGATATCGTTTATACGCGCGCGGTCATTATATATAATACGAGCAATAAAAGCCCTGGAGCGATTCCCGCTTGATTTACAACATCGTCGTCGTCATCGGGGACTTTTGAAATTTTTCAACTCGACGGCTCTTACAAAAGAGATAAACAGTTTTTACAGTTTTTCACAAACTACTACTAGTAAGGTGACCCTACTGGGCACGGACGGATCACTTTGACCAGCCAAACGACGTCGACACATCGCTCGCTCGCGCGCGAGTATTTATTGGAGAGTATAATGTAATTACGCGAGCAACAAAGCCCCGACATATTATAATAGAGATAGAAACGACTGGGCCATAAATTCTCGCGAGGGTTAAACACACAGCGCACGCGAGAGAGAGAAAGAGGAGCTGCTGCTGTATTGTAGCCAAATGGCTAACGCCCGCCGAAGCCCATTGTGTTACATATACGTCGTCGATTGCTTCAAGGGGGCTCTGCTTACGCACTAGGAAATGGACTTTTCAGCCCTTGTTGTTGCTGTTGGCGTTGTTGTCGCTGCCGCTGCTGCTGCTGCTGCTACTTGGAGACTTTCTGGCTTTTAGCAGCCTCTACGCGGGATGGATTTTAATAGCTATTGAAAAACTCGTGTACATTATCCTAAGCTCTTCGCCCATTCACTTTGCTGCTCTCTTACACAGCTACTAGTGCTATATGAGGATCTACTTTTTCGGGTTGCCCGATGCTGGCCCGGTGTTGCGCAAACAACTATACGCGTACGAGGACGTGAAAAATCGTACATATATACGTCTCAATCGACAATGCGATCTGCGCGGAAGCGACGCTGCGAGTAGATTCTGTATATAAATGTAGCATAGGGAAATGAATTGATAATGTTAGATATATACTGATCGAAAAATGTTTTGCCACTAGCGGGTTTACGATACTCCATCTATTGACGATACCTAAAAGCTCACAATCACGTACGACACAAACTTGTTAAAATCAATAAGCATTAATTCTGCAAGTAAAATAATTCACAAGTAAGAAATAATTTTTCTAGCATTTGACTGATTTTAAATATCGATATTTCTTATAAATTCTTACAAACTCGACAAATTCAAGCAATCGAATAGCAAAATTTCAAGTTATCGTTTCAACAAATATCATCGATCGAAGCGATCCCAACTTCAGTCATGCGCTCTTCGAGTATACTCCAAGGTCAAACGTTATCTATCTATAAATCGCCCCTGAGAGTCAAATCGGTGTCTTGAAAAATCAAAACTTGTCCTCTAAATCACGTCAAATTGCTCGTCGACACCTCTCTCAGTTATATTATTCTACCCATTCAACAGCAGCGTCGTCGTCCGAGAGAGCCCTGTGCGCGCCGTTGGGTCGTATTATTATTGTACAGTACAGCGCGAGCTTCCCGCAGCGCTGCGCGCGGACGCATCGAGTCCTCTGATGTATGGTGTGGGGCCTTTTCACGGCTTCTAATATGCTACTTATATATAAACGATACGAATTCTTTGATACAATGCGAGAGACAGAGAGAAGACGTCCCGGTGTCCGAGGAGGAGAAAAAGATACGTTATATACGTGTATATACGGTACGGGCGCGTAGCATCCGGTAAATTGGAAGATGGATATTTGTCCGCGGTAATTTTGCTCTACAGGATCTCGGAAGGGAACCAAGGGCTTTGGAAGATGTTCGATCGAATTATTGTGAAGCCTTCGTTATCGTGATGCGTTAGAGAAAAAATATCGATGGCTAAAGTTAGTGACCGTTTCATTGTTCATTGATTCGATTTTCATCTGATAGAAATGCAGTGCATGACAGTTGATTGTTATATTTTTACATCTTTATTTTACTCTCTCGCTCTCGCACGCGCACGTATATGACTGTGTTTACGTATACACACGAGGCAACGTATTAAGAGCATAAGCAAAGACAGTCAGCGTAGCTCACGGACTTGACTACGTTGAATTGTCTTCCTCTCTCATACTTATGCCCGATTAAGATAATGCATAGAATACTTATGTGCTGTTAAAGCGTATATGTCCCGAAACTCTACACTCTATCATGCATGTTTTATATGTGTTGATGAGTGTGTAGCTTCTTAAGGCAAGTTTAAATTTTTATTATATTATATTAAACATCAATAAGCAACGATTATCGCTCGATGCACTAGGACGATATTTCGACTCAACGATGACTTCTCCGAAGAATTCGACGTTTTTATGTCATATCAATACCCAACGATGAAGTGCTAATGCACTATGTTAATCATTTAAAAAAAACCTTCAAAATATTATTTATCGAAATTTATTTAGAATAAATGAAATGCTACAAAAAGGCTAAGTCAATCAAATAATCACATATATAAATTGACAAATCAAATAATTAAGAAAAAATAAAAATTTGAGAATAAACTTATGAATTAAATAAAACAATGATAAAAATTAGAAAAAAAGTAAAAAAATTGAATAAAAAAAATTAGCTGTGTATGAACAGCTGTAAGACATGAAACATCTTTATCAAATAATTAAAGAATTAAAAATTGAATTAACTTGAAGAATTAACTGAAATAAAATCAAGAAAATTGATCAATCAAATAAGTAATAATAAAAAAGTCAAATTAGTCCTGGAGCCAAAGAGGGGTCGGATCGGCCACGTTAAGAAGATGAATGAAAACATGTTATTCTTATGTATTTTTTCCCGCTGAATCCGAATATCATAGTTAAAAGTCGCTCAGACTGCCCAAAAATTTTTTATAAACAAATATATTGCAAAATGAAGAAAATTTAAATTTTTCTAAATTTTAAACCCATATTTGTGTTTTTTGGGCAATTTTAAGCAAAAAGTGTCTCTTGTAAAATTTTCGTAAAATGGTTTTTTACCGAGATATTGAGACTCAAAGAGGAAAAAATGCACATTTTTGGCCATTTTTAAATAACCATAACTTTTGAAATAACAACGTTAGATCGATTTTAGACCCGTCATTTGAAAGATAAAAACTTAATCTTTAAGGTAATACTAATATCAAACATGATTTATCATACTGGACATGTTTTTTTGCACTACAAACATCGGCGTTTCAGAGCGTGTAATCGCGTTACGCATGCTACTGACATGTGCATTGCCATCAGAACGTGGCAACGCCGATGTTTGTAGTGCAAAAAAACATGTCCAGTATGATAAATCATGTTTGATATTAGTATCACCTTAAAGATTAAGTTTTTATCTTTCAAATGACGGGTCTAAAATCGATCTAACGTTGTTATTTCAAAAGTTATGGTTATTTAAAAATGGCCAAAAATGTGCATTTTTTCCTCTTTGAGTCTCAATATCTCGGTAAATAATCATTTTACGAAAATTTTACAAGAGACACTTTTTGCTTAAAATTGCCCAAAAAACACAAATATGGGTTTAAAATTTAGAAAAATTTAAATTTTCTTCATTTTGCAATATATTTGTTTATAAAAAATTTTTGGGCAGTCTGAGCGACTTTTAACTATGATATTCGGATTCAGCGGGAAAAAATACAAAAGAATAACATGTTTTCATCCATCTTCTTCTCGTGGCCGATCCGACCCCTCTTTGGCTCCAGGACTAAATACGTAAAAAACAAAAAAAAATCCAAAAACATAAATCAATAGTCAAAACAAAAAACCAAACCAGAAACTAATTTTCTTCTGTTTAATGACACGATAAAACGCCAATAGAATTACGCTTTCGCGTCTCGTTTCGATTCTTTCATATATTCATTATTACATTTTCATAAAATCATTATTAAGTCGACGCGAGCGAGGTTCATTCGAAGTTGGCGCGGTCGATGCGCATTTCGTATCATGACTTGGGGCCTATGGCCGGCCATGTGTTTTATGAAAGAAGTGAAAGTCCGCCGGGGACTTTCACTTTCGACCATGTGTTTTTTAATTTCTACACTCAGATACTTAGATCGAAATTAATGTAATGTTCAGTTCGGTTTACGACACGGAAGCGTGAGCAGTGTAGCAGAGTAAAGAAAGATTTTAACGACTGCACCGAGTTATTCTCTAATTTTATACCGTGTGTAGTAGTGCATCGAGTGATTATTGTATAAAAAATATAAATTCAACAAGCCGGATCATGTATTCGTGGTGTGAACTAACAAAGCTCGCGCGAAGTATCGCCGATTGGAGTCGCGTAGAAGAGCGAATCGCTTTTCTCCATCAACTCGATAGCTTTATCAGTCATTGGGAGGGTCCGCTTAACAACCTGCTGAACGTTTTCTCGCACGAGCAAGTCGAGTGTCTTCTCTTTGATTCCATAAATTGCGTGCGCGGAGAATCGGACGGCGATCTTCCAGAACGATTCATCGAGTTCGTTGCTCGCAGCGGCTTCAAAGCCGGGCCGCCCGAGCTCGACGCGGACGGCAAGCCCGAGCTTTTTCGCGACACGCCGATCCTTCTAGCGGCTAAAAAAGATCAGCGCCGATGCGTCGAGTTGCTGTTCGAAATCTACGACGATAGATTCGACGCGAATTACCTCGACGTCGAGACCGGCTACACGCATTTCCATGTGGCCTGCAGTTTAGGTTACGTAGACGTCGTCGAAAAATTTCTCGAGCTCGGCGAGGTCGATGTCGATCTGCGGGTCGGCATGACGAATGACACCCCCCTGCACTTGGCCGCGCTGCACGAGCACAGGAGCTCGATGGAATTGCTGCTGAGACACGGCGCGAATCCGAACTCGACCAACTTCTCGAAGATGACTCCTCTGCACATTGTATGCAAGAAGAGAGATGAGGACGGCGAGCTGTTGCGACTGATCTTTGATATCTGCGAGGAAAACCGTCGTCCGCTGGAGATCGACGCCCGAGACGAGGACGGCCATACGGCGCTGCACTTGGCTCTGCGCCATAATGGTAACTTGACTAATGCGATCCAACTGCTGCTCAGAAATGGCGCCGATCCGAACGCAGCCAACGAGGACGGATTGACTGTTTTTCATTTGGTTTGTCAGATGGACCGCGACGGTAGCTTGGCGGAGATGTTCCTCGAGATGAGCCGCGAGCTAGGCAAGCCGGTGGACATCGACGCTCGGGACGTGGAGGGCGACTCGCCCCTGCACGTGGCTCTGAAGTTCGAGTCCAAGAGGTTGGTCGAGCTGTTGCTGAGACGAGGCGTCGATCCCAATTTGCCCAACTGGGAAGGAGAGACTCCTCTGCACGTCATCTGCGAGAATGACGAGGGGGACGAGGATGGTTTGGCAAGGCTATTCTTCGCCGTCTGCGACGAGATAGGTCGCGCGGTGCACATCGATGCTGGGACCGCTTGGGGCAACACTCCGTTGCACGTAGCTCTGGCCCAAGGACAGCCGGAGCTGATCGAGAGGCTGATGAGACGAGGCGCCGATTCCACGAAAGCCAACGACGAGGGAGTCACGCCTCTGCACCTCGTTTGCAAGAGAGATTGGTCGGTGGAGATCAATTGGTTGGAGACGTTCTTCGGTATAAACGACGAGCTGGGGCGTACGTTGTCGATCAACGCCCGGAACCGGAGGGGCCTGACACCGCTGCACTTGGCCACGATGTGGGGCACCGAGGCGATTATCCGGGCGCTGCTGCGAAGAGGCGCCGATCCCCGAGTGGCCGACGAGAAGGGAGAGACTCCGCTGCACATCGTCTGCCAGAAGCGCAGCAGCGACTTGGCGACTGCGCTGCTCGACGAGAGCCGCCTGGAGTATCGGCCCGTGCCGCTGGACGCCCGCGATGAGTGGCTCGGCCAGACGCCGCTGCACCACGCCCTGATACACGACAATCGAGACGCGGCCGTGTGGCTGCTCAGACGGGGCTGCGATCCGAATTGCGTCGACAACGATGGATCTAGCCCTCTGCACATCGTTTGCCGGAGAAAAGACGACGATGGCTTGGCAGAGACGTTCTTCGAGATCGTCGACGAAAACAATCAGTGGGTGCAGGTCGACGTCCGGGACGAGCGGGGACGGACGCCGCTTCAATGCGCCGTGGCGAATCTGCTGCCCAATGCCGTCGACGCGCTGCTGACTCACGGCGCCGATCTGACGAGCTTCTCGTTTCCCGCCCGGATCAGCTTCTTCTGGGGATTCGACGACGAACGCTCCGATTGGGCGAAATTGAAACTGGCCGCCCGCGCCATGGCCTGCTGCGAGCTGCTCGAGGCGAGAGGCTACGAAACGGACCGAGCCGACGACCTCAAAGTCATGAGATTCTTCGACGAGCACGAATTGTTCTTGCATCACGGCGAAGGTTGGCACGACGACGAGTTCACGGTGGATGCGAAAAAAATAACGATAAAGCCGGGACTGTCGCTCCACGACTTGATCGAGTTGCCGGCCCGAGAGACGGCGAGACGAGTCACGTGTCACCAGTTCTTCAAGTTTTTGCGCAAACCCGAAAATGCGCTCGTCCTCGCGAGGTATTGCGAGGATTGCCTTCGGCATCTGCGCGAAAAAATATCGAGTAGTTTTTTCCGGTACTGGGCATTGGAGCCTTTGATGGAGCTGACGCACTGCCGACTGCCGATTCTCTGCTGCAAGATGATCACCGAAAATCTGTCGAACGAAGATTTGTATAATATTTGCTTGGCGGCTGAGGGCCAAAGCTCGCGATGTCAGCGAGCATAATTGTTGTACCGAATGTTATTTAATGTCGCATATTTTCCATATAATTCCAATAAATCAATCGGAAATGTCAAACAATAAGTGTGAATTTTTTTTTATATTTTTAATCGTACCTAAAAATTAAGCTTTATTTCCGAGATTTCCTGCAAGTTTGGAACTGTATGACAACCTATTATTCATATAAATATGAGTGCATCGATGTATTTATGCCGCGCGTCGGACTCGTCTCCTTTTCAATAAATTCACGCGCATACTTTTTACGGCTGAGGTAATGAAAAAATCTGAACAAAAAACAAATTAATAATTGAATAAATTATAAAAAATCGACTGTTTATGAACAGCTGCAAGATGTAAAACAACTTTATCAATCAATTAAAGAAAATTAAAGAATCAAAAAAAAAAAAAAAAAAAAAANAAAAAAAAAAAAAAAAAAAAAAAAAAAAAAAAAAAAAAAAAAAATGAAAATTCATAATTCAAATAAATCTCTACATTACGTATTCTGTCGTCGTAGGTGATTGATATCTGAGAGATTTCGCTGCGTGCGTAAGCCATTTTGCGTATATATACGCTTATATACGCGGGCACATGCCGCAGCAACTTGACCCAAAGTTAATTGCCAGCCATGTTCCATGCGAAACGGCTTTTTTTTCGCTCAACCGGTCGCTCATTCTCTATTCCCCGCGCATATTCACGGCACACAAAAGATAGATCGAGAGGGAGACAGACACAGAGAGAGAGAGAAGGGACGTTGTATGTCGTTTCAGCCGCAGAAATGCGCGTACAACATTAGCTTTTCCAGAGAGAGAGAGAGAGAGAGAGAGAGAGTGAGAGATGGATATTTCGAGGCGAGTGGCAGCAGCCCCCCTCTAGTGGGGCGTATATGTCGTTCGCGAAGGGTTGCTGTAACGCGCGGCTAGGGGGAGGCAGAAAATCCGACGCAATGACTGCTCGGAGCTTGACTCGGCGCGATTGTTACTGTTATTATTATTATTATTATGTTTGCCGGTGTAACGTGAACGATATTACTTTAAAAGTTATAATATTGTATTGCTAAAGTAATCAAGTTATTACATTATTTTATCAATTGTAGATCAAAAATAAAAATATTTTATGAAAATTTTTCACCTATTAACTCCAACGTAAAAACTGAAAGGTTGATAGAAGATACTTGCTTCAATGAAAAAACTCGATTATCGAAATACTTTTGGTATATTTTTACAAATTCATCACATTATAATTTTACATATCACATTTTTGAGATTGGCTTAATTAATATTTACAACGTAGCGCCTAATACTTAACAATTGATCTAAGAATAATTTTACTCGTAAAAAATATTGCTCAGTTTGATTCTTGAACCCTTATAAATTTTTCCCCCAATCGACATATTTTCCGTTCGACGATCGAAATATCATTTGTTTATATTAAAAAACCTTTTCCATTGCTTTTGTACTGTTTGTACTTAAATTTATCGATAATTATATACTCGTATTTATAGAAAATTTTTTGTTCATCAAAAATACGACGCTCGAAAGTTACGGAGAGTCTCGAAAATATAGTTTACAAATTTACAAAGTGCGTACCTTTTCGTCTTACATTTGCATCTTATATTACGATTCGATGACTATTTTCCTTAGAAGCACTGAGTACAGCAGAACCTCGTTTATTGTACCTGTATTTGTATTGAAAGAATATTTTTTTTTTAACTTCATAATACAGAATGCATTACCGAAATCTCTAGGATGAAAAATAATAAGAATCATTCAATGATGTTTTGTTTACTTGTCTACAAAGCAAAGATATTCGTAATTTCAGTACTTTAAAAGTACGATTTGTAAGCACTAGATGGCTCATCTGATACCCACAAATAAACAAGCAAAGGTCACGTTACTAATGAAGTCTGCTTTATATGATGTACTTTATCAACATAATTCTTATTAGTCCAGTCAAATTAGTTTTGAACGTGAAAAAATTCTCGGCTGGCACATAATAACAACGGCTCTTAAAAAGTAAATAACAACAATCAACAACGAAGATATCAACTTGGCTCTCTTGGCCCGACGGCGAACAAACACGCAACATCTCGAGACGCTGCACAGACGGGCTATTCCGTTACTAGAGGTAATGCATGGCCGGCGTCATGTACTGGCTAGACAGAAAAGCCGCCGCCGGCAGACCGGCCATCAATCCCTGATGATGCTGCTGCTGCTGCTGGGTCAATTGATCGAGTTCCGCGAGCGACGCGGGAAAGCAGTAGCGCGGCATGTGCGTCTTGTAGTGCTTGGTCAGATGGTCCTTACGGCCGAAGCACTTGAGGCAGGTCGGGCACTTGTGGGGCTTCTCGCCCGAGTGGATCTTACGGTGCCGGGTCAGCTCCTCGTTGCGCGTGAAGCACTTGCCGCAGTTCGGATGATTGCATACGAATGGCCGTTCTCCTGATGATGCGTGGGGGAGGGAAGAGGAAAAAAAATGACCTTAGATTTTCTGCCTTGGAGCTTCGTCGGACTCGATCGGTCGAGGGAAAACGCGTGAAAAACTAACTAACCTGTGTGTATTCTCGAGTGTCCCTTGAGCTGTCCGCCGTTGGAAAATCCCTTGCCGCACTCCTCGCACAGGTACTTCTTCGGTCGCGACTTCTTGGCCGACTTGGCGGCCTCCTCCTCCTTCAGCTTGAGGGCGATCTCGTACTGGGCCAGCTCGCACTGCGCCTGGGCCATCAGCTGGCCGCAGACGCTCTGATAGCACGACGCCGGCCCCGACGTCGGCGACTCGTAGTACAGCGTCGGTAAAGCCGGTGGCAGCGGCGGTGGTGGCGGTGGCTGCATGGCCAAGCCACGATGATGATGACGAGGGGGCTGCAGCGGCACCGGCGCGTACACTCGTCGTTTTGGCTTGCTGCTGCTGCTACTGCTGTCTTTGGCGTCGTCGGCGACTCTCACGGGCTTGTTGCTGCTGCCGAGGATGTCGGCGATGTGAAAGGGACTGTGACACGGACTGGACTCCGAGGCGACGGACGACTCCTCTCTGTCGTCGCTGTCGTCGCTGCCGCTGAACGAGTCCGTCGTCGACTCTTTCGAGTTTCGATGATGATGATGATTATAATAGCTGCTGGCCTCTTCTTGCGACGAACTGGGTGACGACGCGCTCGTCGTCGTCGACATCTCCGCGTCCACACTCGATCGCGATTTACCGTACACCCACGGACGAAAATAAAGCTCACTCATTGTAGCGGCGGCGGTGCACACAACTGAATTCCGCGATACGATATCACTTTTTTTACGGTGCGGTGCGGGGGATGATGACGACGTGTTTCAATAGTGGAAGCAAAAAAAAGTAAACAAGGCACACAAGGTCTTCGCGCTCCAACGAGCGAATCTGTACTGAGGGTTTTTTGAGCCGGCCCGACGCTTAAATACATCGACGGCCCTATACAGAGAGCCGAGAGCATTTTAGGGCAGTTTGGCAGGAGGGGAATACACGGGGACACAAGTGCGCATTTCGCATCAAGGGCGGTGCAACCGTGGAGAATAGAGCTGCGCATCGGAAAAGGGAGCTGCGGTGGTGGTGGGGACGACGGCTTCGATCGTGCTGCGAAGGCAGTGAAAGGGGCGGACGATCCGAGCACAGAAGAGCATGGCGCAGCTTCTCGAGATTACCGTTATTATTATTATCGTATGCGTGGTGTTGGGTGAATTCGAAGCGCCATCGAAACCGAGGAAAAGTCGCCCGAAGTTTTTCGTATATTATATGTATAGACTGTCGAGCGAAAGTCGTGGGTTTTTGTGGAGCAACAGTTGGTGCCTATTTTCCGATGATATAAGCCATAGTATCCACGTTTTCCACGCTTGAAAAATTCGCGTATGTTATACGCGAGACATTTCAGTACGATTCGTTTGCTTGAAGTTTGATGAATGCTTGCATCCATTGTGCAACGGTTTATCACGTTAACTTACAACGTTTTATCACCTTAACGTACAACATTTTATGGACAGATTATGGGTCTTGCTTTTCTTGTTATTAATTGAACATTTTTTGACAATATAAACATGTAAACCCGTACCAACGTGTTTGAACTTATACAATTATTTTGACTTATACAATTATTTTGACTTTGCCTCTTGCAGATTTTAAAATAATAGTACTCGCCATCTATTGGTGGAAACATAAAATATAAGATATCTTCAACGTTTTCAAGGGGTTACATAGCTTTGTGTGGCGGAATTTATTTTTATTTTTTGAAAAATTATATTTAAAAAACTGAAATTTCAATAAAATTTAATGAATTTTATCCACCAGAAGCTGTAAAAGAATTTTCAGATAAAACAATTACAAAGTAATATGTTCCCTAAACTGCCGTTCTTTGACTTATAAACTTAGTTTTAATTTTTCACTTGTAGATTTATAGATAAAGCAGATAAAGTGGATACTCGCCTTCTAGCGGTGGAAGCTGGAAGTGAAATTATAGTATTTAAATTTATTGGAAACTTGTTGAAATTATTTGAAACAAAGAAAGTGTTATTCTCATGTTATGTAAAACGAGCGGAACATTTGCGACATGTCATTTGTAAAAAACCCGCCTTAATAAGACAATTAATGGTAATGTATTGTGATAAATTGTAATCGATCATTTTTTAGTCATTAGGCTATTACTAATGTCGAGTATTTCTTTCAGGGTTGGAAAATTGTTTCCATTTCAACAACTCGTTATTTTTCATAGTAACAGGTAATCTATAATAGGCTCAAGAGTAATAAAACCAATATCGAATTTTAAGGGATGAAGCAATCAGAGTGAAAATAATGCACTTTGACCGAAAATTTGTTTCACTGTTTACTTGAAGTTTATCCAAGTTTTTGGATAAGTATTTGGCCAAAAAGTTAATTTTATCCCAGATTCGGCGTCTTCTTAAAAGCAGCTGTGTGAATTCGTTATTGTCAAACTCCTGATTATTTTGAAGTGAAAATTTTTTAGATTTATTAACATTTTAAAAATGTACCAACAACTTTTAGATCGTAATCTTCATTTCACTGTACTTCAACCAATCTACTTTTTCTAATCATCGAAAACTGCCTCTGCAAAAAAGTCACGGCTTAGTGTAGGTATAAGCACGATAATCGGGGCGATGATACGAACGAAGGCCCGACCGAACATACCCACTATACATACACGCGACTGCATGCACACCCCATCCGCAGTAGTAGTAGTAGTAGTAGTAGTAGGCGCCTCCCCATGCCGTGTGCGTGATACGCATTATATAATGGCACAAACCCATGACCCTGCCTTTCGCCCGGTAACGCGCGCGCAATTTTTTTTTCCTCTCGACTGGGCCACAATACACCAGATACATATACAACAATAATGCAATCGAGGAGAGCAGGAGCAGTACAACGCGACGCAACGCCGCAAATCCCAGCTGCACGCGCGCGCGAGGCTTTTTCCTCGAACGACGACGACGACGACGTCGACACGTGATACGTTATGTATGGCAAGCTCGATGCTCTTTTCCCGACTTTTCGTGTAACATATGTGAGAGAGAAAACGTGAGGACAGTCTTGGATCAAGGGGTTACGCGAGTCGTTCGCGTGCGATGATTCGATTTACCGAATCTTGAACAAAACAAATAGATGCGTGTTCTTTTTTTGTACAAAATTTTGATCCTTTGAGGCTCTTGTGAATTCGTCGTTTGGCGTGCGCAATGACAATGGGTCACGTTGGAAAAACTCGTACTATACGTTTTGTGGCAAAAAATTTTTGTTAAAAATCATTGCGAGTTGAAAGCAACATAGTACGAGGCTTGGCGTTATTTTTATTGCAATTTTATCGATCATTATGAAATCTATGTGGGCTCGTTTTTGTCCTTGATAACGAGCTTTTATGCCTTAAGCGCTCAGCAAATGAAAAGATCGCTTTCACTGAATACGTGACGAGTCCCCGTTATAAAACCTGAAGTTTCAAATTTTATAACTGACTATTAGACAATTTTAATTTTAATAATTAATGGATAATATTTATTTATCAGTAAATTATTGTGTCGGTAAGAATAAAATCAAGAACAAAATCTCTTCTCCACTCGCGAGAAGGTAAATATTTTAAAACAACTTGTGACTTTTATACTATAGAAAGCAGTTGAAAAATGCCTTGCAATTCTAAGCAGTAGAAAATATTTTTACAGTTTATTGGTTTCTTTGAAATAAATGCAAATTAATGTAAAATCAGACATTGAAATTGAAAAATAACCGTTTGTTAATTTTCATTACGGTAATTTCACTTAAAATTTTCGTTAAATTTAACTTATAAGTACTGATTTTTTTAATATAAACTGCTCAAATGTAAAAGTATAACAAAATCGATTACATTGAACACTCAAACTTTGAAATCTTGTGAAAATTTATGGTTTGATTCCGGTTTAGATTGAAAGTCAATTGTGCGAAAAAAGTCAATCATAATAATACCAGTCTTTACCACTAGATGGCGAAGTAGGTTTATCTGTAAATCTGCGAGTGGCAAAATGAAATTGAAATTATTTAAGTACAAGCACGGATTTTAAAAATTTGATTTAACGTCCAAATTTTCTTCGTTTTATATAAATAAAATTATTAAATAGTTTCAGCGATGGTTTATTCTATTATAATCATTGAATCCCCTTATACTATATTCTTTTCTCTTATTATTTTTTACTTCCATTCTCGCTTCAGAGACTATTCCATTTAAAAAGGCACACTGATCTCGAATGGTTCGCAGATAGAGGTTGTAGTAATTTTGATAGTACGCCCTCTTATCTAAATCGACACCTCTCTTGGTGGATCCTCTACTCCTGTTTGAGTACTTTAATATTCATACTTTTACATTCACACTTTTATATTTATTTTAATATAAATATTTTTGATAGTGTATTTTTAATAATTATTCAATTCAATAACATTAAATTCTCATTCATACATTTTATATTGAAGCGTCAAATTTAATATCTATCTCTGCTTGTTTCTTAAACAAACTACTATTTCAGTTGAATATTTGAATAATTTTATCCAAAAAAATCGAGTATCCATTCGTCTACGGTGCAAAAAAATTGTAAAGCTTCTTTCCATTTAACGAATATCTTTTTATCATTAATACGACTTTATTCTCCCTTTAGTCTTACACCCCGTGCAAGCCCTTCAAATATAATATAATATTTTTTCAGATTCAAAGGTATTTTGGGCCAGATTGTATTAGCCACGGGGCTTTGCTTAAACGCGTGGAAGTATCTCTCTCTATCTCTTTTTCCTCACAATGAAGGTTGCGGAACCGACGATAATCCGCGTGAAATCGCGATTTAGGCCGGGCTTTTTGATGCATTTAGCTGCTCTCACTTGACTTTTTTTTCTCATCTTCTTCGTCTTCTTCTTCGTCAATTCTATCGCAGACAGCTGGCAGCAGCTCGTGTACACACATTTATGCGTAATGATGTTTTTATTATCGTCGGCCGAGGGCAATATTTCATCGAATATCTTGAGCCTCGGGCATTGAGGAATATTATTATTGATTGTGCGCAACGTCAAAGAAGTTGACGTGGGTGAGACATCTCTGATGGATTTATTAGATTGCCCGGCACGGATTGCAAAAAAAAAAACCTCGAATTGAATAACACGTCCGCCTCGGGGGAATACCTTTTCTTTAATAAAAAAAAACAGGTAAGAAAAAAGGTAAAAAATAAAAAAATAAAACGCAGTGCTGAGCAATTTGACGCGGCGCGCGCACGGATCTCGCGACCATATGACTATATAATCCAGGACCATCTCGAATTAGAAATTTTCTTCAGCCCCTATGCCGACTTTATAGTACGCGACATAACATCTCGCACAGTCCGCGAGATCGGCTCGCGTAGATAAAATATAATATTATATAATTTAAGCTAGGTGCGGCGAATCGGGGGGTGCTTTTAATTAAAAAAGCCTCTCCAATGGAGAATGAATCCGCGCTAACACGTACTCTCTCTCTATATATATGACAGTGCAGCGGTAACAGTAGCAGAGAGAGAGAGAGAAGTTTAACGAGCCCCAAACGAGATGACTCGCCTGCCGAATTTACGATCTCTCTCTCTCTCTCGTTGGAACCCCTCGAAAATTTTCAACGATATATATGCCGCGCATTATTATTAGATCTTGGCCGCACGGGGGTAGG